CGGTGAAATCGAAGATTCGTTTCTTCCGCATGGATCCGCATCGCTATCTCGACGTATAAATGGACCAAATAAATTGTTATTCATCGTGGAAGAGACGACGTGAACGACGGTGTAAATAATTGCAACAATTAAGTAATAATCAGTCATTCGTTTGTATCATCGAAGTAGTCGTTTACCGCATAATTAACGCACGTATGTGTTATCGTGAATGTATAATATAATATATATAATATAGTATAATATATATAATATATAATATATATATAATATAGTATAATATAATGAATATAAAATACCTCGTAATGCAACTCAAAAAATTGACGTCGATATTATTCGTTATAACCATCTATTTATTTCACGCGTGATAAGAAATCGTTTGACAGAAAAGTTGATTATCTCTAAACAAGTTCGTGACAATTAAACCGCGGATTTTCATGCATTTGTGTGAAACTTGGAGACGCAAAAATTTACAAAACACACGTGAAAAGAAAAGAAAGTAAAATATTTATTGTAATATCTAGCAGATAAGAAACGAATTTTTTAAGTTCCATTCCTTCAATCATGTTCATGCATAAAAATCTGCAATCCGATGATATTTACCACCGTGTAAATTGCGATTTGCGATATCAACGCCAGTACGTGCAGCAGACAATCGAATTATCGGGCAAATGATTCGCCATAAATCGCGTTTCGGTAACGTTGCGTCAATCGATGCGAAGCGGACGCGAGCCGAACGGCGGAAGAGTCGTAATCGCGGGGCCCGCAGCGTCCAGAAGAATTATTTGACGGGCAAATCGATGGAAGAAGACGGAACCGGCGCCTCGATCATTTTTCGAGCAACGAACATCGCGCGGAAAAATACGCGGCGATGATCAATCGATAAGTATAGCGGCCGATACAGTCACGTTCGATCGATGGACAATTGAACGCAATTCTATGGGATGGGAGTGGCGATCGAAGCTCTTTTCGAACGGAAAAGGCGCATCCTGTGCCCTGTCAACTGACAGTTGACAATGTACCAGGCCCACGAACGGCTACGAGGACGATCACCCGCACCCACGCATTTTTTGACCATCACGAGATCGCTTGCAAGATCTTCGCACGTAGAACTGACCGTCTTGTCGATGTTAGTTCAAAGCTTGAGTTAACATTAGGCACAATTTTTGATTCAACAATCAAGTCAATCGGGCTTAAATTTTTTAAAATTTGTCTGTGTAAATCCAGTGTGAAAATTCAGGTTGGAACAACTTCTAGCTCAAACAGAAATGATACATTCGCCAATTTTTTGGTTTGATTGGACAATTTGATGATAATTGGCCAATGTAAATCCTATTTTATATTAAACAATTTTTGGTCGGATAAATTTCAAATCGTTCAAAATCGCTCGTGTAAACACAGTGTCAATCAACAAAACTATTACAATTATTTTTAATTAATTCTAATTGCTTTTACAAACGATTTTTAGCTGTTCAAATAGAAGTAATAGAAGTAATAGACACGATCCGAGAACGAAGTCAGTTCAATCAAAAACAACAGAAATTACAAAACGATCTACCTATCGAGTGAATCTCGTTTTGATGCTAATGTTCAAAAACAGCTGTGAATTGCTCGCTACTAATGTCTCATCCACGGATCGTTTTTCATCCATGTTGTAACATCTGAGTTATATCGTCACAATAAGTATCTATCAAATTTGTATGCATAGCAGGACAAGGAGATCTTATGCATTCGATTAAGAATACTATAGAAATTGACCTATACGCAAGATGGGTCAACGCCATGGGGTGCACTCGGACTATGAAGGAAAGAAAGGGCGGTTTTGAAGTTATCTTGAATCCTACGAACATAAATCAAGCAAGATAAATCGTAATGTGATTGAGACGAATCATTCCTGAATAGGTGCAGTATTCTTTGATGTTCGATATATTATTAAAAGCATTCTGTTCACAAGCATTTCACGTTGATAATTCCATTCGATCAGTGGTACGGTTCCAATACCGGTAACAATATTAGTCAATGAAACCGATAAGTAAAATACCAAAATTCTAAAGTTATTTCGTAATGATACGAGTAAGTAATACGAGTTTTCGATTTTTCTTTTCTGTGAGTAACGTAAACTTAAACGTAAGCTTGAATCGATAATGTTGCGATGATTGTAATAAAAAGACTCATGAGCACAGATGATATAGAAAAAACTTATCATCAACGTTATTATTACAGACAAAGTATAAAATAAATAAATAGATCTATCATCCAATGTATTTTTATGTCAAAATGGAGGCTCTTACCATTTTAGTGTCATTTCCAACATTACCAGTTTAAACGTAGAATAAGATTACAACCATTGACTAAAGCACCAACGAGATGTATCGACTAACGCGTAGACCGATCAAATGGAGTTTCGTGTCTCAGGATCTGAAATACCGACCAGGAAAAAAAAATCACTGGTTTTTTAGCGTCCTCTACGCTTAAACAACGGTGAATTAGAGAACTACGTCAAACCACCGACAAGGTATATGAATAGACCAAGCATCTTACGGATTTTCGTCGCCCGTGACCTGAAATACCGACGTAGTAAAGAACCACTGGTTTTTAGCGCACTCTACGTTTAACAACGGTGAGTTAGGGAACTAGTGAATGCGCCAACAATATAATTTTTGAGACCTACAGCGTTGTCAACTTTCGATACCGAAATGTAAAGCTCGTTTGTGATTATATCAAGTAAAATGATACAAGTAAAATGTTTAATTGTATCTCCAGATTCCAAAACGAGATTAGTATCTAAAATTATTCTATTTTTTATTATGTATTTATATCTGTGTCGGAAAGCGCTCTATTTGTGTTTTACGAATTCATCATTGATTTTTCGTTGAAAACGAAAATAAACGATAAAATTAATACTTACAACAGATTTTATTTATTGAGATATACTTAGGGACGAAATATATTTAGAATGGACCTGATATTTAATCAAAAAGGAGACTAGTTCTATCTCCATATTCGTAGATAAGGAACGCAATAGTATGCGACAAGGACTTGTGTTATAGACAGAGCACAGTAACATGTAATAATAAATTTTAACTCCATGCTAACATTTCCGATGAACTTTTCACTTAGAAAAAAACTCAATCAAGTTGATTAATTTATGAACTTTTGCAGTTGCATCCTTGTAATTAAATTTTCAGCTTTTTTCCTGTATTACATTTAACCTATAGATATTTAACCTATAAGGAATAGGTATACATGTAGATTTACATATTCAAGCCAGTAGATCAAACGACTTCACGTTGACATTGAAAAATAGAATGAATTTTATTTTTCCACATGATTAATTAACATTTTACGTCGATATATTCTATAGTTGCTTTAAACTATGTTCACATTCATATTTGATTCACGTTTCAAACGTAGATTATAAAAGATTAAACATCGTTTACATGAATGTTTATTTAATTAAAATGTTTTCAAAAATTTAATCACGAATCAGGTTCTACTATACATAAAGTATAAAAATTTATTGTGAACAAGAAATTGAACGAAAATTTCAAATTTGTTGCAACATTCATTAATTCAAATTGACATGTAAAGCATTCACTTATTTAGTATAAGGTTTCATTTCTGTAATGTAGTAAATACACAGTTTTAAAATTCAAATAGTTTACACAGCCGTTAATAACATTTTTCTTTATCATATGTTATTGTTATAAAGTGATTGATTTATTTATCGGCCAAAATATATTCTTTATAATTCTACATTATAATAAATACTTAATTGTGTGTAAACTTATTAATTTTATATCGATATAATGGCTATAAGTGCATCTTTTCATCGAAATGTACTTTTATTATCTCAAGTTATTCAGCCTAGCGATGAATTGAAGAAATACTTTCGTGAGGTATATTCTTTAATAGAAAATGAATGTGCTTGCAATATATTTAATTATGTTGCCTTTTTCTATATTATCATTATTTAGTTTATCATAATGTTTTCATTCATAGGGAATGTTTGACAAACCCAACACAGCAGGTTTTCTACACGTTTCACACTATTTATTGACAATATACGATTCAGAACGTTTTAAGAAACTCATTGAATGGCCTGTACTTTGTAAAAAAACAGAAGCAAAGTATCGTAACAATGTCAAAGATTATTTAACAGTTATATCTGCAGAAAATCTTGACATTGGTTTTCCAAATATACATATGTCTCACTTAATTCATGCAGGTGGAAGTAAATTTACAATCATTATGTGGAAATTATCTCAAGTAGTTATAAGAAGATACGTTATGCGAGAAAGTAAGTAAATTTCTTTTTTTTTATAAATAAATATATATAAAAAATAAATATAAAATTTTTAATATTTTTTTCTATTTATATTTGTTAAAATTCCATTATATTATAAAAATAACTAGTTATTCCTGTTTATTACAATAAATTTCCTACATCTCTATGCAAATATTATAATTATTATATTTACCTTTATGCTTACTTTTATGTTATACTTAACTTTTCAGCTACTTTCAATGTTGTATTTGCACCACAAGTAGGAAACAAAGGAAACATAATAAAACAATTTTTACAAGAAAGTAATACAAAAATTAATTGCAATATTTTGAGTCAGCATAAAAATTTATCTAAAATGAAGGATTTAACTAAATCTGTTATAGAGTAATATTTTTTTCAGTTTTATTTATATATTTTATTATTTTACTTTTTTTATATAATATTATTATTTTATTTTTTATCTAACGTTATTAATCTCTCCATCAGGAAAGAAACACAAACACTAGATAAAATTATAGCAGAAATTTTTGAAAAAGAACTGTTAATTGGAAGTCTCTCACAAACAGCACCTGTACATGATTCAATTAAGAAATATCTGAAAGATATAAATAATGAAGAAATAATAAAAAGTCAATATATTTTTTCCATATATATATATATATATATATATAATAGTTATTTTTATATATAAATATATCTCTGTTTTAGCTCTTAATTTTTAAAATAATAGTAATTTACTAATTCTAGCATGGAAAATGAATATAAATAAAAGTTTGAATCAATTTGATATGCAAAATAAAGCTTTAAAAGGTATAGAACAACTTGTTGATAAAGTTAATAATATAATAATAAATAATAGCAGTGACATTAAAATATTCAATGCAAAACAATTACAAAAAATAAATGATTTTGAAATATCAGAATTATTGCCTCCAAACATGCAAGTAAGTGTTTTTTTTTTCATATATACTAACAAAAAACAATAAAATAAAAGAACATAGTAAAATTTAAAATATTTCACATTTCAGTGTCTTCTATTTCGATTATACAAAGATGATAAATTAATGTTAAATAATTTTATTTTATTACTTAGTTTTTCCCTTACTCAGTTGCAAAAACGACTAAAATTAAATATGTTAGAAGACTTCTCAGAATGTTTATTACAAATAGAAGCTAGTTACAAAGATATAAAAGCAGCATTCAATATAATACAAACATATTTAGTAGATATTACCAAAATGATATCTGAAACACAAGATATTTTATGTCAAAAAAATATAACACAAATTCATGATGATGATGTATTACCCATAATGAATAATATAGTCGTTATGTCGTCGCCTCTTATTAAAATTGATACAAATTGTAACGATGAAGGAAATAATCTTCAGAAGAGGCTACAATTAACTCCAGTAGAAGGTAAGATTAAAACTATTAATAAAATTATCAAGTAATATATTTGAAAACGTTTTACAGCTCCACATAAATCACTATTTTTAAGATATAAACGTTTGAAACAAGATTATGCATCACATGGATCAAAATTAAGAGGAAATTTATTAGTATCACGAATTAATTTTGAAGATACAATGATAAATATAAATAATGAACTACCATCTTTACACATGAATGTGATGTTATCTAAAAAAAATATATTGTCTTCCAAACAGGCAGAAAAATATTCACGATTATTTTCAACTCGTATGAAAAAAAATAATATAGCAGGTATGTAGTCGGTATTAAATCTTTTTAGAAAATTAAAAACTTCTTTTTTTTATAGCAACAACAGCAAATTCGAGCATAGCATCTGTACCTTGTTCTTCAAAAGCAAATTCCACAGTGCTTACAAACGCAATTGAAGAAATGCATGATATATCAGATTTTAGTCTAAACATTTCAACAAAAAGTCTCTGTAACATAAATGCAGAATTTGCTACTCCAGAAAAATTGACCGCGAAACAGGATAAGTCTGAAAACATGTTAGAAATAGAAGATATAGTAAATGAGTTTCCAAATAAAGCTAATGTGCTTGATATATGTGAAACAATAGAAGCAGGAATTAAAAATAATGATAATAACATTAATAAAACCAAGAAAAGACGTTCCATTGGGGATTTACTTGAACGTTATAAAAAATTAGTTGAAACACGCAATCATACATCAAAACTTAGTTATGTAGAATATGATAACAAAGAGTTGTAAGAATTTACAATTTATATTGTAGAATTGACTATTTACAAACATGTATGCAAAAAAATACATTTTTATATTTTTCTTAAGGTTTTGTTGTTTTTTTCTTCCTTTATTAAATAAAATGCATTTACCAGGTTACATCATTGACTAAATAGGTTTTATATAAAAATAATATTAGAGAAATATCTTTGATATTTTTTTCTAAAAATGTAAATGGATTTATCGTACAATCTAATAGTTTTGTTATTTTTAAAAATTAATTATATTTATTATATATGTTGTAAATAATGTATCTTGCAATCGAGAACATTTTAATTTTATTTTTATTAAAAATATACAAGATGTATATGTGTCATACAAAAATAGAAAATTAAATTAAAAATATAAAATAAAACTTGATTTTTAAAAACTGACACACACACACACACACACACACACACGTCTGTATTTACACACACACACACACACACACACACACGCCTAAGATATAATTCTTTGAGCAAATTTTATAATACCTATTACTTACGTAGATATATATGTTACATTAAATATTATTACATAGTATTTTATACATTTGCAAACAGTGAACACATTTTATGTTTTCATAGAAATTCCCCAAAATATGTTACCGGCAGTAGAGTAAATGTTATTTTGATTTAAGATTGTACTAAGAATCATGTTTAAGAAATTATATAGAAATATCAATTAGTTATCAAAATACTTAAAATCAATTATGGACAATAATTAGTAAATCGACAAATTTTAATGAATAAAACAATATGAAACTAGTAAAGCCTAATTGGGTTACACACGATGGTTTGTATAAATTATATTACTTAAATTTATTTTCTGCAATGTTTACAGTTAAAATGTAACGTAAAATATTTATTTTTCAGGATATCCAATTTTTTCCGTGGATATACATCCAGATGGAAAAAGATTTGCCACCGGTGGACAAGGTATAATATTAAGACTTTTGATTTAATATTTTTTATAATAGAGGCAATTGTTTAATTAAATTATAATTTGTTATAATATTCATATTAAATGTTATAATATTCATATCAAATGTTATAATTTGTTATAATATTTTTAAAATTAATTATAGGTGGAGATTCTGGACGAGTTGTTATATGGAATATGGAACCAGTAGTTAATGAAATTGCTGAATTAGATGAAAATATTCCAAAAATGTTATGTCAGTTAGATAATCATCTTGGTACGAGTGCATGTTAATATTTATTATATATATGTTAATATTTCTTAATATATACAAATTAATGATAATGATTAAACATGACATATATTAAATTAAAAAATTTATGTTACTTTTATAGCTTGTGTCAATTGTGTAAGATGGAGCAATAGTGGTTTGCTAGCATCAGGTGGTGTAGATAAACTGATCATGATTTGGAGATTATCAGGCGGATCAGGTGGAAGTTCAATATTTGGTGGAAAATCCAGTATTGAAACATGGCGTTGCATAGCTACATTACGTTCACACGAAGCTGATGTACTTGATCTTGCATGGGCACCACATAGTCCATGGTTAGCTTCTGCATCAGTAGACAATAGTGTTATCGTATGGGATGCCTCAAAATTTCCAGCTATTGTAGCTGTATTAAAAGGCCATACAGGATTTGTAAAAGGAATTACATGGGATCCAGTAGGAAAATATTTAGCATCACAATCTGATGACAAGACATTAAGAGTCTGGCGTACTACAGATTGGACAGAAGCAGCACTGATATCAGAACCATTTGACGAATGTGGTGGAACAACTCATGTTTTAAGACTGTCTTGGAGCCCAGATGGACAATATTTAGTATCAGCTCATGCAATGAACGGAGGAGGTCCCACAGCCCAAATAATTGAAAGAGATGGATGGACACAAGATAAAGATTTTGTTGGTCACCGCAAAGCAGTTACATGTGTGGTATTAAACATAAAATATAAATTTAATAATTTATGTATCTTGAATTACTTATTCATTTTTTAATTAATTTTTTTAATTTTGTAGAAATTTAATGGTAATATTCTACAAAAGAAACAATCAGGTTCCTCTAAACAATATTGCTGCGTTGCCATAGGATCACGCGATCGTTCTCTATCTGTATGGTTGACATCTCTAAAAAGACCTTTAGTAGTAATACATGAATTATTTACACATTCAGTCTTAGATGCTAGTTGGTCACCTTGTGGTCTTCGATTAGCTGCTTGTTCTTGGGATGGATCTGTTGTACTTATTGAATTTACACAACAAGAATTGGGTCAACCATTAGATCCTGCCGAACAAGTATGTATTTTGCGTAATTCATTTTGAATTGTAAGAAACAAATTATTTTTATTTCATTATAGAGTAGTCTTCATGAACGATTATATGGTAAGCCGTTAGTTCAAGGTGGTTGTACCGTAATGGAAGCACCCGAACTTCTTAATTTAAAAACATCGACACCATCTACACAACAAACTCAAACACCTCCAAATACAAATTTAATACAGCCACCAACTACTACTACAACTACTCCCGCTAAAGGTCCAATTAATAAGCAAATTGAAACAAGGACATCAGATGGTAAAAGGCGAATAACACCAATGTTCATACCACCACCATCCGATACAATGTAAGTTAAATTATAATTTTACAAAATTATAATTTCTATATATCCTGTAGATTATATTAATTATCTTCACTCAGGGATTCATCAAATAATAGACTTGGAACTCCAACATTTACAAGTCAAGTAAAAAGTTCCATTGTTATTGAAAAACGAAACGATGTTGTAACGCCTAATGTTACTTCATCTTTAAATTCAACGAATATAACTAGCCAAACTTCTACTCTTACTTTAAAACGTCGTGATCAACCAACACCAAAATCGTATCATACACCATATAATAAGAAGCCAAAAATTGCATCCGAAAGGAATATAAATCAAATTATACTTCCTCCATTAAAACCGTCCAGTTCATTATCTCAACAAGCTGGTCACTATGCAGTAACCGTTACAAACAGTCAAGGTTTAGCCCATTTACAAGTATTTAAAGGCACAGATTCTGAACCAACTTGGGATTTGTATTTAGGATACAGCGCGGTAGCACTCGCAGCATCACCGGCAGTTATAGCACTTGGGTTAGAAGATGGTAGTCTCCATACATTTCATCCTACAAAGGGATGCCGTCCAGCGCCTCCATTAGCACCACCTGCACCACTTGCAAAAGTTCATGCAGTTGGAAATGCAGTACTAATTTTTTCCTTATCTTTTTTCTCTTTTTCGTTTATTTAAAAATGATTATCGTTCAATAAATGTTTCTAGGTAATGGTTATTTCAAGTTGTGGTGCTGTACGGGTATGGGAAATAGGATATTCATGTAGAATGATAGTTTCTACATCTGCTGCACATTTAGCAGTACCTGGTACTTCTTTATTGTCTTGTACTTTGTATAATGGAATGCCACATTTAGCTTTTACAAATGCTAGAGCATATATATATCATAAAGAAATGGGTATATAAATCATATCAAAATAAAACTATTTATTTCACATTATATATAATATATTTATAAAAAATTTATTTAGGTACATGGCTACTAATTGGTGACAGTCAAGATCCTATATGGCGTTGGGCTTCATTTAATGCATCAAGTGCATCTGGAAACAGAGCACCTAGAGGTCCGTTATCTTCCTTGCAGGAAGGATTATTTAGAACAGCAGGAAATACTTTACCTAATCCGAGATTACCTCATAGTGCTCCAAGTGTTGTTTCTTATTTAGAACAACAATTACTTGCCTCCAAAGCTCTTGGAAGTGCTCAAGAATACATACATTGGCTCATGGCCCTAGTATCATTTTTGTTAACTCAAGGTATACATAGATATATATGTATTTTTTTTATTTTTTAATTATTTATTATATTTAAAATAGTATCATTTTAGATGGATTGGAAAAACGGCTAAGGTTAATTTTAGATGAATTTTTGGGTCCAAGTCATACATCAGCTTCTAAGAGCATATGGGATCCCTCAATTTTGGTATTTTTTCAATATTTATTCTTTTTATTTATTTCTGTTTATGTGTTATACTGTAATTATAAACATAATATTATATTTCGGTTTTATATAGGGGATTAAAAAACATAAACTTTTAGAAGATGTATTATCCGTTGTTGGAGGACATCTTCGATGGCAAAGATTATATCTCGAATACATGGAACAGTTAACAACACTGAAAACTCAAACTAATTAAAAGTAATTATCCAAAATATAAATTTGAAACAATACGCGTGACTTATATCGTGGTTATTGTATGTTCTAAAATGGTGTTATAAAACTTGAAAAATATAATTATTGTTTGTAAAGTACAAATAAAGTAATTACATTTGTAATAAAAAAAATAGCAATGAACATAAATTCATATATTTGTAGTTTCTAAAAATATATTCACTTTTAATTTCAATATGAATTACATGTTCTAAAGTTGATACTTTCCGTAGTGTATAAAAGACATAAATATATATAAATAACAATTCGAATTCATACTTTATTGATATTTCGTTTATTTCATGCAATACATTTTCAAAACAAGAAATTTATTAATTTATGGTTATTCAAACGTTTGTATGTATTTAAAATTATAAAAGAATGCGCACAAGTTTTTCAAGCACCTTTTTAGAATTATTTTGTATCTCTTGTATATTTTTAAAAACAAATCTATATAAGATAACAAAAATGTACAGTCTTTATCATACATTGTATATGATAACTATATAACAATAATATTTTATATTAACTGAATGATGTTTTTTATTTTTATGTTTAATAAACATTTGTTATTAAACAATTCAATTCATTCTCTTAAAATTCTCTTAAAATATATTCTAATATGTTTATATAACATTACATATAAAAATAAAGAGAATATAAAACATATTAATTGATTAGAAATTTTAGCAATTTTATATCAGTTTCATACAATAAATTTTAAACAAATTAAATTTCAAGCAATATATAATGCCCTACGTTAAATTTTGATATTAGTATAAAAGTTTTTTCATACTTAAATTATTATACTTGTTAATATATGATCATTATACAATGAATGTAAAACATTTTTAATAATAAAATTATAAAATTAGTAATAATGTATAGAAATAAATTTATAATTGCATACACTATAAATACCTTCCACAAAAATAATAATAGTTAAATAAAACTTATCAAATTCATCGAATCAAATTTTTCATTGAAGAATAATGCTTACGTGAAATATGATATTCTGTTTTTAACAATTTCTTAAATATATTCAGATAAAAATATATTATAAAATTTATTATATAATTTAAAATTTATCACTAATAATTCATGTACAGTAGAGAAAAATAATAAATTGCATTAATTGTACATTTGTATTGTATACAGAGATTAATTAAAAAAGTAAATAACAAAAAATAATGCATAAAAATTAATTAATAAACTACAGTCAATTTATATATTTTAATATTATCTATGTATATATAAACTAGCACCAAAATATTTATATTAGCCAAACTACAATGAATGACATGATATAAGAATATAAATTATTTTAAACTAAATAAAATACATATTCTGTTCTATTACAAAACATTTTGTACAAAAGTAATAATCAGTTAATCATTAGCCATCTTTAAAATTCTTAAAAATAATATCATAAATATTATTTTGATGTAAAAACTATTTTTTGCTACATAAGTATACATACATAAATATATATATACATATATATAATGTAAAAATTCTAATCATAAATTTACGAGTATATATAAAGTTTAAATTACTTATTTGTCTTTCAATTGACAGTGTAATGTACGAAATAAAGATATTTAATATGATTATAATGCACTGAATATACATAAATAAATTTTATCTATATATTAAGGCCATTATACTTTAAAGCAACTATGATTAAGCTCGAAATATTTAACTAATTAAATGCACAAGAATGAAATATCAAAATAAATGTATAAATCAGTTTACCTATAAAAAACGTAAATATTCATCAAAAATTCATAAATAATATATCAAATACATTCTTGCAATTTATATATATATTTAGAAAACTAACCAAACGCAATATGTTATTATAAAAATGTCATAATTGTATAAATGTATAAGCAGAATATGTTAAATATTTTAATCTAAGCAGAATATTTAATAAATATAGAAAACTAATTTTTTCTATAATTTGTAAAAATTTCTAAATACAGAAGTTATTACAGCAAAATCAAAAAAATTTATTTAATTTAATGCATGCATTTATCTATTACTTGAATAAACTAATAATATATAACAATCATCTGATAAAACAAGACAAAATAAAATTAATTTTTGTTATTAATATAAATAAAATACATCAACCATTGTATATCATATATTATAAAATTGTTAACTGTAACAAGTAATATTATGCAGCATTATTTTTAAAATCTTAAATAATTATATGTATATAATCATTATTTCTGTATTCAAAATCTAAGATTTCTATAATATTCCTAAAATCGCATTTGTAATACCAACATACTACAATCATTATCTGTGTATCAAGCTTATCTATGTATAATCCAGTAATCTTAATAAATATTTAATCTAGACAATGTATAAACTTTTTGTACCTTCAGCGATTATTTTCACAGATATATATACATAAATAAATACAAAACGCGCGCGCGCGCGTGTGTGTGTGTGTGTGTAAAACAAAAATTATGATATGTAATATTAAAATATTGACATAAAAAATAAAAATAAACGAATAAATTAAAAATTACAACCTGCTTATTGTGCGTTATATTTTTAATAACAAATACGTCTTCGATTTTATAATGAACTACAAATATGTAGTATTCAAGACAGGCCATAATAAATTGTTATTAATCATACTGTCATTCATTGCAATAAGCCTCTACTACTTATGGTACTATTGTTACCAATGTAATTTATACTATTACTACTGTTACCAATGTAATTAATAAAACGTAATTGGTATGTGGATATATATGTGTGTGTGTAAATGTGTATAGTTATATACACATTTATACGAATTAATTTTTATCAAGCTTTGATACAAGCGTTTATCAAGCGTTGATACTAGAAACTTTTATAATACTGGATTTTATAATTTGAACTATTTTTCAATGTTAACAATGTAAATATTTACTTCACTGAACAAAGCTAATCACTGTCCATTGTAACTGACTCTTTTAATTCTGATTCATCGACATAATGATTTTTTGAATTTCTTTCTTCTGCAGATTTTACACACTGTAAACAAATTTATTATTTAAAACTATAATTATTATTTTTTATCGTGAAATATATTTTTTCTGTAATGTTCTATGATAAAGTTATAAGAAGAAACTTACATCCTCAATTCTTATACGTGGTGATGCAATTTGTTCAGGAAAATGCCATGGTTTATAATTTGGATTATTAAGTAATTTCCAATTAGGATAAGCTACAGAAGCTTTATGTAACTTTTTAACCATCTGTAACAAAAAAATAAATTTAAACATTTAATATAAATATATATTTTAATTGTAATAAATATGAAAATTACATACTCTTGGAGCAAATATTTGTGTAACTTTATTAACCAACCAAACTGGTAATTTTCCATGTGGATCAGTATGAGAGACGTATCCCAATTCAGAACCATCGCCATTTCGAGACGGTCGTACTATATATCCTTAAATAAAATAAACAGCTAAATAATTAAACATATACATAAATAATAAATTTTATCTTAATTTTCAAATCTTACCTGTAAGATAAGATGTTGCCCGCACAAATTGTTTTCTTGGTGGATGGTCTTTATGAAAAACAGAATGATTCAAAATTAATTGCTCTATACCAGTATCAAGCCATGATCTTTGTAGAACAAAATCTCTGTTTTTCAATGGTGACGGACAGGCCACTAATTGATAATATATATAGATACATATTTAAATATATATCAACACACACACGCGCGCGCGCGTTTACATACACATATATATACATGTTTATATACAAATAATTACAATTTCTATATAAATACAATATTAAATACAATATTAAATACAATATTAAATACAATACTTGCTTGAATAATAACCAATATCGTTATTTGGATTAAAAAATCCTATATCTTTCGATTCGATCATATGAGTGTCCCAAACTTTCCTATATTCAGGATCATGTAATACATCATATAACGTTTCTGGTAGAACATCAGGGAAACGTGTTCTAATCTGTAAAGTATATTAATTAATAGAACTAAACATCTATAAACATAATACAATAATAAGAAAAATACATACCTTCACCATTCTAAAACTAATGCCTGATACAGATTTTGTCCAAACTGACAAGTCAGGTTTATTATAATCTAATCTCCAATCATTATTATCATCGTACAAATGTTTCAACTTTTCAAAATCTTTATCTTCGGCAATCTTAACAATTCTAATATCCATTTTATAAGAATATTGTCTACGGAATAATCAACATAACTAACAGAATGCACAATTTCTAAAAATATAATTTTTTATTTTTATAATTTATTAATTCAATTTGATAAAAATTGAAAAATAAAGATACCTGTCATTCATAAATTCCTTAGAAGTTCAATAAAAAATCTATCCATGTTGCATTCTTGTATATAATAGGCCTTATACTTGTGCCAAAGCAATTTTTGGCCAATCTTAATCATTGTTTTATTTTCCAAATATAAAAACTAAATATATTACTCTTGAATTTCATTTGTACTAAAAAAGAAAATGAAAATATGATAATAAATAGATTAATATAGCAGACTGAAATGTAACCTCTTGCCTAATGACATTTTGATATTAATGATTTCTATTATCGCTAATTAATATATTAAATCAGTTATACAATAACAATATAAATAAAGCAAAAATTTAAACAGCCCGCACAAATATTGTCACATATGTTCTGCTGAAAGTAAAAATAAATAACCTGAAAAAATGTCTTACATGTATACATACATACCTTATGTATATTGTACTGATAAAAATGTTTTTACAAATTAAAAACAACTTATTTTGTCACATCTAACTTATAAATTAATATAAATCCATTAAATATTTACAAAGTTAATGTTTAATAAAAATCCGCATTGAATCAATTAATTTTTATTACCGGTATGATATAGTGGCAACGGTAACAGGTTAGTCGATATCTATCGTACCATTCAGATTTGCGTGAGTTCCAATTCTTCATTGTGCATCGTTTTATCCTTTATTTGAAAAACACTTTATTTCATTTGTAAGTATTTTACTTTGTAACTATCTTCAAATAGATATCATTTTCTCATTATAATATAATTTTCTTTATATTTAATGCATACACGTATATAAATATAATAATTTAAATACTGATATGATTTTCTGTGTGTAATACAAACTATTTTTTTCTATTTTTAATTAGATTTATTAATTATAAAAATAGTGATGGAATCTTTATTAATAATAATACTTGAGGAATCATTACTGATTATTGATCATTTATAATCATTTGTGATCGTTTTAATTCTCGTATACGTTCTTGTATACAGAAATATATTTTTTGTATCATACAAATTTTCTTTTTTATTTTGCATTATTCATATCTTTGAACATAATATTAATCAATCGTGTTAAATATTTTGTTCATAATTGTAAATCATATTTTAGGTTATTCTACACTACAATACACATATCTCTAACATGGCTCTAAAAATTTCTGTTAATACTGGAAATATTGAATTGGATAATAAAATCAGTGAATGGTTAAAATGGAATAAGGTTTTTAATTTAATAATATATTTAAATTAAATGTCTTTTGTGTCGTACTTCAAATGTTTATTGTTAAACATAAAATGTTTTAGGATGCAGCTGCTAAACATGAAATTCAAGAATTGATTCTTAACAACGATGATAAAATTTTATCTAATTTATTTTTAAAGAGGCTTGAATTTGGTACAGCTGGCTTAAGAGGTTGTATGGGTCCAGGATATAATCAAATGAATGATTTAGTTATAATTCAAACTGGTCAAGGGTTATCAATGTATTTAGCTGATAACATAGTAGATGTAACTGAAAAGGGTATCATAATAGGATATGATGGACGTCACTGCAGCAAAAGGTCAATCTAAATATTTAACTTATGATTTTTTTAGTTATTACAAAATAACTAAACTCTATATATTATATGAATATAGATATGAAACATTATTTTAGTGTCATATAAAATTTACATATTTCAGATTTGCAGAATTGACTGCTGCAATTTTTGTATCAAAAAATATAAAAGTATATCTTTTTTCAAAAGTTGTACCAACTCCCTTTATACCTTATAGTGTATTAAAGTATAAATGTGCAGCTGGAATAATGATTACAGCATCTCATAATCCTAAAAATGATAATGGTTATAAAGTTTATTGGGAAAATGGCGCACAAATAATATCACCACATGATAAAGAAATTCAAAAATACATACTTAATAATCTTGAACCAATGGAATCTTCGTGGGAAGTAACAAAAATCTATCACAGTTCTTTATGTATAGATCCATGGGATGATGTTATGCAATCTTACTTTAATGATCTCGAAGAAACTGTTTTATATCCAGAAGTGAATAAAAATACAATATTAAAATTTACTTATACTCCTATGCATGGTGTAGGATATCAATATATGACTGCAGCCTTTAATGTTGCAAATTTTAAGGTACTGTTGTAATAGTTTATTATATTTTAAATTATATCAAAGTAATTGTTTTAATGTTTATTATATTTTATATTTTAAACTTTTACGACTGAAGATATTACAAAATAATTAACTATAAGTAAAAATCGAAGATTTTACTTTAATTATTTAAAAAATTATAAAAAAAATTAAAGTTTTTCTAAATATTTTATAGCCATTTATAGTAGTTGAAGAACAAAAGTTACCTGATCCAGAATTTCCAACTGTTAAATTTCCAAACCCTGAAGAAGGAAAAAGTGCTTTAGATCTTAGTATACAAGTAGCAAATAAAAATTCTTCTTCTATTATTCTTGCTAATGATCCAGATGCGGATAGGCTAGCTTGTGCTACGAAAATAAAAAAGTATATAATTTATATTTTTTATTAATAATATACATATATAAAATTAACTAAAATTTAGTAAGTTTTTGCATTTTTGTGATAGTGATGAATGGTACATCTTTTCTGGTAATGAATTGGGAGCACTTTTAGGATGGTGGATGATACATAAATATCAAGTGCAATATGCTGATACAGATTTTTCAGATGTATATATGTTGGCATCGACAGTTTCAAGTAAAATTTTAGCATCAATGGCTAAACAAGAAGGATTTAATTTTGAGGTATGTGTACTAGAAACAAAATTAAAGTATTTTTGTCACTTTTATTATTATACACTCCCTTTTGTTTTAAAAGGAAACTTTAACAGGTTTTAAGTGGATGGGCAATAGAACTGTAGAATTAGAAAAAATGGGTAAAACAGTTCTATTTGCATATGAAGAAGCCATAGGGTTTATGTGTGGTTCAAAAGTTCGCGATAAAGATGGTATAAGTGCTGGAATGCATCTAGCAGAATTATCGGCCTATCTTGAGACTATGGGACTTACTCTTCCCGACTTATTAAATGAAATATATATTCAGTATGCTACCATACATTTTATATTTCAAATATTTATTTAAATCAAATCATCTATATCTTATGTGTACGTTTATTTAAAAAATATGTATTTTATTCAGATATGGATACCATATTTCTAAGAATTCATATTGGATTTGTCATGAACCAAGTATAATCAAAAAAATATTTGAAAGATTACGAACATACTCTGGCAAATCAAATACAGTAAGAAAATACAAATATAAATACAAAATATCATTGATATGACATTAATTTTAAACATTTTTTTAGTATCCAACAGATATTCTCGATGGAAAATATACTATAATAGGTGTTCGTGATTTGACAACTGGTTATGATAATACAAAACCAGATAATAAGGCTGTTTTACCTATTTCGAGATCTAGTCAAATGATAACATTTACATTTAAAAATGGTTTGGTTATAACTTTAAGAACTAGTGGTACTGAACCTAAAATTAAATATTACAGTGAATTGTGTGCTCCTACTAATCAACAGTAAGTTGTTTATATTGTTAATCATAGTGTAACTCTAATTTTAAAATCTTTATTACTTTATACAATTATTTTCAGAAATGTTGAAGTCTTAAGAAACATTCTTGATGAAATGGTATCAGCTGTTGTAACAGAATTTCTTCAACCTGAAATAAACGGTCTTCTACCTCGTATTAGTTAAATAATATTATAAATATTTATACGTGAAGTCTTATTACTATTACTTATTACTCACTTTCATAAGTTGTTCTTGTTAATTACTTATATATATTCAATTTAATTAATCGATTATTTTGTAAGTATTTATTAATCGATTATTTTGTAATTATTTTGTAATTGTTATATATAAGAAATTGTATTTAATTTCTTCAATAATTAATTAATTTTTTTATCAAACATATAATACAATTATATTATGTAAAAAAATGTCATAATATAGAACAATAAGTTAAATATTGTTAACAATTTTAAATTTTTATATAATTCTTTAAAAAATAATTTACATTAATAAATTAAAGGAATGAATAACTGGAATTATACATATTCAAGCATTATTGTTCAGACATGTACTGATATTTGATTTTAATAATATGTATTAATAATTCATGATTTGTATCAATATGTATCAATAATTCATAATTCAATATTTTTAACAAAATATTAATATACACTTTATTTATAACTACTATACATGCATATGTTTTCATTATATAAATGTACATATTTTTTATATAGAAATTAGCTAACTTTTTTTATTTTAACTTTTTTTTATTTTGCTTCTTGAACATAAAATGTAATACACTAAAAAGAATACGTTATTACATACTTTTAATATTATATATATATATATATATTTTTTAAGAAAATAGAAAAATACCTGTTCATCTAAAAAATCCATAAGTATATTCATTTTGCATTTTAAACCTTCTGTCTTTAACATAAAATGCAAAGAATTAATGCATATTGGTTCATATGCCAAAATTTGATTATATAATTCAGTTTTAATAGATAAAAGTTTTAAAAACATATCTTTAATATTTGATCCATTATCAATTACTGAAATAAATTCGTATTCATAAAATGGTTTTTCTTCGACAATTCTATAAAAATGATAATTATTTATCTATACTATTTAAGAATTATGAAATTTTTATTAATTTATGAAAATATTTTAATATAATGAAATCAGTATTACGTATATGCAATATAATTTATAAGAGAAAATGTTAATTGAAATTCGTAATTACGTGTACAGTCGATATCATTCTTTTTGCTATTTCTTTTTTTCATGGGTGGTTCATCATCTTCACTGCTTGTTACTGTTAATTCAGATTTTATGTTTCTTGGCGATGTATTAATTGTAGGATGTAACTCATTATAAATATATGTTAATAATTTTACTGCTCTTTTCCGTTTCTGTATTTTCAATCCATATTTATTTAATTCCGCCTGAAATCAAATCAATATATTAAAATATATAATAATATGTTAATGTATTCATTAATTTACCTGAAGTTGAGATGTTTTCATGGCATTATAATTAGGAGTAGGAGTAACACTATCTTCAATAATTTCAGGTAATACAGTTGTTTTCAAATTTTTCTTATAATTACATCTACATTGAGAATTATTGTAAGATTCAGCTATATCCTCCTTAATATGTCTCGTACCAATATGTAAATTTGTTTCCAACAGTGATTTCCTTTTAAATTTTCTATTGTATTTTTTTTTACTTAATGATTTTTCATTATCCTTGAACTCTACAAAAGAATTGTTATTATTAACAATTTATTATATAAGTCAGTAAGTATTAATTATTACAATTGATATAATTCATTTACCTAATTGATTTACTTCTTCAGTAAACAATAAAGTATTAATGTTATCATCACTGTCATTAATATAAGCATTTTCTAAGTAAATATCATTTTCAGAATTATGAGAATTACTATTTTCAGAGTTTTGATAATGTAAACTACTTGTACTTTTTTTATTTCCTTCGTGCTTATGCACGTATAAAATATTGTTACCTAATTCAGGACTGGAAGATACTGATATTGAGGTTTCTACTGAATTATGTTCATCTATACTTGATTTATTTTTAATTGTTTGTAAATTGATATTGCTTTCTGATTTACTATATTTTAGCTTATTAGAATTATTGAACTTTTGGTCTTTAGAAATATTTTTTTGGGTACTTAATGATTTGACATTAGTAAAGAAGTAATTGCATTTTTCAGATGTAACATATTCATTAGTAAAATTACACAAATTTTGTTGAGATATTTTTTTACTCTCTTCAAAATTAGGAATTACTTTTTTTATTTTATCTTCGTTGTCGTGTTTCTTGGTCGGACTTATTTCACATATGGAATCTTTATCTATATTTAATAATAAACTATCATCATCCGTTTCATTTTTATTTTGGTATTCATCATATATCATATTATCTATCGCATTATTTTTCATTATATGTTTGTGTACAAAATTTCGATATTTTACTATGCTATTATTTTCATGCCCTTTCTTGTACATTGAATACATAGATATTTCATCTTCATCTGAAAATGTATTAAAATCTGAAGGTATATCATTTTTATTTTCACTTGATAAACTTTCTTCAGATATGGAATGTATTGCTTCATCTTGTAGATTCTCATATGCATTATTTATACTTTTGTTCACTGAATTTGTAGCACATTCTCTTTTATTAGATTCTGATGATGGCATATTTATTGATTCAAAATTGAGAGATATATCTGAATCATTTTTTTCATATGACATTTTCGTCTTTAATTCAGAATTTTTATTACAATCAAATATATCTAAAATATCGCTTTTTGTTTTAAACGTTTCTTTAATAATATTATTTTCAAAAGAATCATTTTGTTTTATATTAAATGGATTTTTACATAATTCGGAACATGTTGATAATATCGAAACATCGGAATCTAGATCAGAATTTGATCTTGCATTTTCTTTTTGAACTTGTTCGATAAATATACTAAGATTACTTTTTAATTTCAATATGTTTGAACAATCTCCTTTTTTTGGTGTAGTGAAATGGGTATTATCTGTAAATAAATCTTTATCTTTTTCAATATTTTTTAATTTTGTCATATTTCCAGATGTAGAAAATTTGGTAGTATCAATTACTTGATTGGCCGAGTCAATTATATTAGAATTTTCATTATTTTTTGCTTTTTTACTATCTACTATTTCATTGATATATTTTGTTTTATTCTTTATTTCTTCAATCTGTTTTGTATCATTAACATCGTCAAATAAATCAGGAGATATATTGTTATTTCGAATAATATTTGTATCATTAAAATAGTTAATTTCTTCTTGCAATAATTCATCTGTACACATATCTTTTCTCAATTCTGTTTCAGTAAGTTGCGATTTATCCATATCTTTGTCCAAGTGTTTTTTATTCAATTTTTCATCATCGATCAATTTGGAATCTTTGATACCATAAATTAAATTTTCTACATTATCACTGATTACTTCTAAATTATCTTTTTCCTCAGAAATTAGTTCTGTGTCCCATTTACTATGCATTCCTATTTGTTTAATTTCAATCTCTTTTTTTTTCAAGAAGACGAATAATTCCTTTATTTTATATCTTGTTGCTAGATTTCTTAAAAATGAAAAATTTATTAAATTATCCAAAACATTTAAATATTTTTTTATAATTCCACAATAAATAAATTCCAAAAATGCTAAAGCAATATTGTAAGATATATCTGTCCAAGAAATTTTTTCTTTAATTTTAGCAAATAATAAAGTATCATTAGGTGTTATATCAAGTAATATATTTGGACATTGTACGTAAAAGATTAATTTATGTGCCCAAATATGTTTATTATTGTTAACAAATATTATGATGTCACTTGCAAAGCTATCATTTAATGCATTGCTCCAGTTTGTTATTACAGTATCGATAAACTGTATATTTTGATAATTTTCACATTTTTCATTTATAAATCGTGCTTCTGTATGCGATACTTCATCGCGTTCTTTGTTATTGCAGATTCTTGTTTCATATTGACTTAATTTCATATCATAAATTTCACATGTATTTGCAAAATCTAAGATTATTTCTTGGTTCTAGAATACAATATTAATATGAATTATAATTATAAAAATATAAATATTTTATAATACAATATTATATATATAATACTTGAAAATATCAATAAATTTATTTATTTTACCACTTGTTTTTCTCTTGAAGTTGTATAATTTGATAAATTTGATACGTAAAAATATTTTTGATTTGATGACGATTTAGCTTTACTCCACAATTTTTCTTCCTTTTAAATAACAGAAGAAAAATATATTCATAAAAATTAAATACATAAATTCGTTGAAATATAATTATAATATATATATATATAATATATTATATATAATAAAACATATAGTATTTACCTTGTTAGAAAATTTCTGAAGGAAGTGACTTTTTAGATCATTTTTCTTTTGAATTAAACGATTACATTTAATTTTTCCATTTTGATTTTGAGTAATTTCATTTCCCATTAGAATTTCTGAAATTTTTTCAGTTAAAATATAATTTCTTTCTTCTTGAGAACGTGTTTGAAGCAAAGTTATTTCATTATTTTTTCCTATTAAAAAAATATATTAAAAATATTTAGTTTAATTTTTAAAAAGATACACATTTTAAATTACATACTCTTTTTATTCTTTATTACTGATGGAGGTTTATTATTTGCATATCCAAATTTTTCCAACTGGCCTACATGAACTGATTTATTTGTTTCTGACGCAAATTGATTTAATATTTCAGGTAAACTTTCAATTTCGTTCATAAGTAATAAACTTTCATTAATTTTATCTAATTCTTCTGCTTCTTGATATTCTGCTTCTGATTTTGATAATACCAATGCAAGTTGAAGATCAGTTTCTTCGTATAAATTCTATAAGAATCCATTTATATTTCATAAAATAAAAAATATATTTCTAGTTACTTACAGAATCTTTTCATAATTATAACAATTAATGTGAGACATACTTTGTTAGAAGGTTTCTTTTTAGCTTGTACTATAGGTGCAACAGGCAAACCTAATGATTTTCTTTCATTCTGTTGTCGCTTTTGAAGTTCTATAGCATTTAATAATTTTTTTGTAGAAACATTATTTTCATATGCACAAATTTTCATATGTAATGCATGAGAATTAAGATCTTTAAATGTTTTAAAACATAAAGGGCATACAAGAACCAATTTCGCATCAGTAGTAGAATCTGTATCGTAACAGTTAGCTTTAGATTTAAAAAATGTTGATTCTATCGAAGGCTGCGATTCTTGCACATTTCTTTTTTTCTCTGATTGTTTATTCTTTTCTCCTTTGTGACTTTTAACAAAATTTTTTAATTTTGTAATTGTTCGTTTCTTTTGATATATATTGCAATGATTAAATTCAATTGATTTTTGTTTTGATGATTGTTTCGGGCTTTTAAAATCTAATAAACTATCATCTTCATTTAAATCTGATGTTTGTGAAAGTCTGTTGCCTTCAAAATGTTCATCCATTTCATATGTTTCTTAAAAATGACATATGATAAACTTTAAACTGTTTTAGGCATGCTCTAGAATAGATATATGAAATTAAGAAATTTATTATTTAATGTTTTCTTATATTTTTAATATCAAATATCATAATTAAAAATTAATGTAAAAAAACAACATTTTAAATATTTTAATATATTTTATATAATTATAATATATTGTATATACATACTTTATATGATTAAATATTTCATTAAATATTACATTATTTAAATACTACAAAATGAAAATATTGCTGATAAGCTTCCTTGTAAAATATTTCGATATACGGACTGGTTAATTATTGCCTTCAACTGCTTTCAAAGATTTTTTCTCAAATACATTTGAAATAATATTTTTAAATATTGGATTATCCCAATAATCCCGTGTTTCATAATATTCGTCGTATAAGGTCTTTTCTTTATTTCTATAACCTTCTTCAAGTTCAAAAATAAGTTTCTTCTTATTTACAACACAATTGCTGCAATGTAATATGTTAAATTTTAAATATTATACACCAATATTATTCATCGAAGCTTATTGATTTCATAATCATTTCAATACGATAAGGTTATATTGTAATTGTTTAATAAATTGAATATTTATATTCTATTCTACGTATAATTTAATTTTTACATGTAATATTTCAAATTTTAAACTAGTAAAAATTTAATACATAATACACAATAATAATAAAATTTTAACGAATATTCACCCAAGATGATTGAAGTATAAAACAGGAATCAAAAGTTGTAACAAGCTTGTAATTATAAACACTTTAGCAGCCGGAGTTCCAGTAAGAACTCGAATTTGTCTCTTTTTTAAAATTATTGGCTCATACATTGTATATACCTTTAAAATATTAAAATATTTCTTTATAGTTGCTAGATACGATATTTGTATATCGTACAGTGTTGCCACAATATCTAAATATGTATAATTCAATATACAATAGAAAACAATTAGTATTTTTTTATTACAAGTAATTTCTATTAATAGTCTTTCCACTAAAATATTTTTATTTTTTTTTAATTCATAATATATTTTCTCAATATAAATAAATCAAGTATAGAATAAATAATATATTGTTCAAACACGTATTTTAGATATTAGGCTCTCTATTGTTTATTCTATAAAATGAATCTTTAAATGGTGAAATTTGGATTTCTTAGATTTAACGACTTTGTTAAATCAATATCGATAAAAGATTATAAATAGTAGTAAAAGAAAATTTTAATTTTCTTAAAATATATTTCAGTATGTAATAAAATTTGTGAAAATAAATTTGATGATAATTGGTAATTATGTAAAGATCAACTGAATTTTATAAAATATAAAGATATTATTTTTTTTACTTTCCAATTAATTTTTAAATATGGTATGTACACTTCAATATTTGTTTTATTACTTTTTATGTTCTTAAAAATTTAATAGAAATTATTTTTTATTTCAGGCTTCCACTTCTAAAAGACAAACTACAGTTGTAACTAGAAAAAAAGCTGTACCAAAAATGGAATTGACTACTGAACAAAAAAATGATATAAAAGAAGCATTTGATTTATTTGATCCAGATGGCACTGGAAGAATAGCTACCAAAGAACTTAAAGTAGCCATTAGAGCTCTTGGATTTGAACCAAAAAAAGAGGAAATAAAAAAACTTATTGCTGATGTTGATCCAGATGGTCTTGGTACATTGTCATTTGAAGAATTTCTAAATTTAATGTCTACAAAAATGTTGGAAAAAGACACGAAAGAAGAAGTTTTAAAAGCATTTCGTCTCTTTGATGATGATAATACAGGAAAAATATCTTTTAAGAATTTAAAAAGAGTTGCACGAGAATTAGGAGAAAATCTTACGGATGAAGAATTGCAAGAAATGATTGATGAAGCAGATAAAGATGGTGATGGAGAAGTTTCTCAAGATGAATTTTTACGTATTATGAAAAAAACTAGTTTGTATTAACATTTCATTATTTATTCTTACATTATTCTATAAAGATTGCTTTTGCGTGTAAGTTGTTTATGTGATTCATATAAAAACTATTACTATTAATTATTTGTATTAATTGTTTACACTTAAACTTAATTTTATTCTATATAATAATATATAATACTAAATGTAAATAATGGATAAAAGTAAACTTTTATATATGATGTAATGATACAGAATATACAATACAATACAATAACATTAATTTAAAGATATCAAAAAAATTTTTAACTTATTAATAAATACTACAAAATAATTAAAAAGTTTTATTATTATACTTCAAAATTTTGTATAACTTTTCATTCATTTAAATGTTCCTGTTTAATTGTTAACACAGCAGCATCAATTAATGATCTTATTAATTCTGCTCTTTTTTTACATTTAGTTAAGCTTTTTAAAAATAAATCTTGTGAGATTGGAATTCCACCTGAATAAAGAATATACAGTATAATATTTTAATTCCAATGATGAATACAATATGTTTATTTTTTTAAATAGGAGATAAATATTAAATTACCAGGTTTGTGTATGCAACAAATCTTGTCTTCATTCATTACAATTGTCAATCTTCCTAAACATAAACTTTCTTCATCGTCAGTGGGATCGGCAACCAATAATTGACTAAAAGTATAAATATTATTCTATTTAATAATTATTTTAATTATTTGAATTTCTAAATAAATATAACTTACTCGTTAAATATTGCAAAACTAACAGACACTGGTAATGCTTTAATTGGAAATTTTAGTCTTTTTGTATAATTTACTGATACACTTCCAGTTTCTATGTTATAAAGTGTTTCAGGTAAAGTTACTATAAAAAAATACACATGAAAATACATAGTGTAAATATATACAAACTATATTATTTAAAATTATTTAAAACTTACAAGTATTAAGCGTAGCTGTCAATGCTCCGATACAAGCATCAATTATTGAACCATCGTAATTAATACACACAAGGTCACAATATAAGACCCATACTAGTTTACCTTTAAAGACGCAAAGATCTTTCAAGTCGATAGCTGCTGAATTTCTCAAAATATTTTCAATTAATTTTACAATAACTTGTGCTTGATCACTTGGTGGACCTGGTCTAAATTTGGGAGAACATAATGGAGGAAGTTCTATATTTGGCACGACATAACCATATTCTGGAGATTCTGCTTTAGGAGCTGCTAATTCCTATAATCAGATTTTATTAATAGGAATTATAATACATATTTATTAATAGGAATTATAATACATATTTATATATTCGCACAAAAACAATAAACTATTATCTTAAAAAATTAAAATTTTTATATCGTTCTTTAATCGTTTGATTTTGTTCATTTCTGTTAATAAAATATAAAAATAAAAATGAAAAATACTTACAGCTTTAATACCACATACAATTGTTGTATTACCAATTTTGAATATAGCTGAGCTATCGGCATGAGTAATTGACGATATATTTACACTTGTTGGACGAAAAGATAAAAACTGTCTACCATCTGGTCGAACATCTTGTGCCTTTAAATTTATTATTATATATATATCAAAATAATAATTTAAGTTTTATTTACAGTATTTATATATAAATATATACGTACCAAGTGATCTTGCAAATATTTTACAGGATGTATAATTCTGTAATTTATTTTATTTAATCAAATATAAAATAAAAAATTGTTACAATTATATTTAGAATGTAATTAATTTATTGTGCTACTTTATTTTAAAAACTTTGGACAATAGAAATTTATTTCTATATAATGAAATATTTAGAAATGAATATATAAAGGTTATGTCAAGCTAAATATATTTAAAAAAATAATTATTAATATATATGTAAATTTTAAATTTTATATCATGTAATATATTTGTTATATGTGAAAATTAGTTGTAAATGTACACATTAAATTATTAAAAAATCGTATATAATTGATAAAAAATACCAACTTGTATTGCGAATCCATAACTTTAATGTTACAAACTGTATACTAACATAGCTACGTACACTTAATTTTATATTCTTGTATTAATTTGAAAACTCAATTACATTATATATGAAATGAATTTTTTTCAAAATAAAAAATAAAATTAAAGAAATAAATATTTACCGAAAATTATAAACAACTTTTCATATGTACGATATTATTTCTCAAAAATTAAAATTTTTGATAAAAAGGTATAATATTGAATTTTTAATTTTTTACTATTTATTTTTGATATTGGACAAATTGATATTGGAAATTTGATATTGGACAAATAAATGTCCTTGTTATTATTTAAAAATTTTAAAAATAGATTAACTAACAAAATTTTTTAAAATTGTTATTAAATTTTATTTATTTTATAAAAATTTCTTACAATATGAATGCACAACTAAACAAAGTTTTATACGTTTAAAAATTTATTGTTACGAATTATTTTTTCAATTACCATTAGATTAATATTAATTGCTTGTAAACAATGGAAAAGACAATTGTTCTGTTCTGTTCAGAAAGGCACAATGTGGCATATATTCTTAAAACATATTATAACGAAAATTAGAATCTACTGAGAGTACATAGTGAAATATTACAATAACAAGATAATATAAATATAAATGGTCAAAATTTCATAAAATACAGAGTTAAAAAAATAGTCTTCTCTATTTTTAAATGCCTGTGTAAATATTAAAATAACATATTATTTAACTTTTAATGTCAAAGATATCTTCAAAATCATTCACATAAATCATTACATATATCAAAGATATTAATTTTCAAAGTTGAATACAAACTTATTTGAATTCTTTATACACAGACATATCTTTTTGTATAAATATAATTTAGGAGTAATTTTAATAAATTTTAAATTATTATTAGTTGTAATATTATTAACAATTTAAAGTTATTAACTTTTAAAAATATAATTGCGAATAATATTCCTGTTTGTATTGCTGTTTATTCTGATGCAATTTGGTGGCTTCATCGAGCAAGCGTAGAATAAAATTTAGGCTGTAAAAAGATAAGATATTTATTCGATTTATTTATTTCGGCATTTTCAATATTGCTTACCTCGTGATCATGATTTTCTTCTTTATTTCCATCGTCATCATCGCCAGAACTATCACCTCCTGAACTATCTACAGAATTTCGTTGTTGATCCTTGTTATTTAAGTTATCAACAGCAGAAGGGGATGATGCTTTTACTTTACTAGCTGCATCGTAGCATTGCAAGCAAACTCTGACTGCTTTTCCATTTCCTTGTCCAGGCAATAGTAACTTTTTATTGCTGCAAGGTCCGCATACAACAGCTCCACATTGTCTACAATGGTGCTGAAAACGATTTATCAACAATGTAAATATTTAGAAAATATAATATTTAACAATTTGAAAATATAATTAATACATGTATACCCGTCTATTTAAGACTGTAAATTGTGTCTTGTTACAATGCATACAAATTGTAGCTTCATTATCTGGGACCCAAACAGCTGCGTGAACTTCAACTGGTTTCTTACCACCTACCAAAAGAATATATATACAAATTACATGTTGTATAAATAAATGAGCATACAATAATTACTTACTTTTTCTTAATAAATCTTCAATACATTTTGTAATATGAGCCATCCATTCTTGTTTCTCTGTTGGAGTGGCAGCATAAACAGCAAATGACTTTGTTACAGTCTTTATGAGCCAGCCATTGCGATATTCTATAAATAATGATAAACTACTATATTATTTTTATATAATTATATATATTTGTCTAACAATTATCTATATTTTATATGCAAAAATAATCCAAAAATTAGTCCTACAATTATTATGAATGGTGATTTAAATGAAAACAGAATTTCTTACAGAAATAAAATAAAACACTTTACAAATGTTATGTTATAACATAAATACATATAATTTATAATATAAACATTATTTACCATTATTTACCATATAAACATTATTATTTATTTAATAACAAATTTACTAATATTTTTTTTTATACATATTTAAAACTTTGAAAATATTTACGATAATTCCATATAATGCAAAGTTGAAATATAATTGCAAACTGATTTATCATCAAGTATAAAACATAATTTAAAATAATGAAGATATAACTTACGACCGTCATCTGCTAAAGATTCAAGTTTGACTTCTTCGAGTGGTATAATATGTTGTTTGTTGTACTGTTAACATATATAAATATATCTTCTTAATATCTCTGATAAATTCATATATTATTTAAAATTATTATATTAATAAATGAGCTAAAATTATATTTAATATAACTATTAATGTTGATATATATTTACCTTTTTCTTATTCATTACAATATTTCCATAGACCAATATATCATTAAATAAAAAGAATTGTCTTGGTTTAGGCTTTTTTCTACACATTTTGGTTAATACACCTTCTCCAACTAAAACTCTTCCAGGCACTGCAAGTGGCTAAAATATATAATAGGTTGATGTAAATTTATTAAATATATTTGTACTTTAAACATTTTTTAAAGCTAACATTAAAATGTCAGATATATCAAATTATATCGAACACTCGTAATATTCGAAAATACAAAATTAAATATAAGAAAATTTAAGACTTTTAATACCAATCTTACCTGGCCAGAACTGCCAAAGCAGTTTTCAACCATAGCAATGCGCCTGGCATTAGCCTCGCTATTTACTGTAATAAATCATATGAAAAATAAATAACTTTTAGTCATTTTCTGTAAAATCCATAATACGCAGCGAGAAACATAATTTACTAAAAGATTAATCATTTCTGTAAAACGTTTTATGTTACGTGTACAACTGTCAAAGTCATATACTAAATTATATCGTTATCCGATGCAACCTTAGAAATCATAGACTAAACAAATTATGAATTTTGTAATTCAAAATGGAGTAAATATTATACATGTTAAAATTATAGATTAAAAATAAACTTCTCATAAAGAATATAATATTAATTAAATGATGATACAAACTAACCCAATCGGTCAACCATGATCCTATGAATCAGGGCTGACAACAAGGAAGTATGAATCATGAACATTTTAGTATTTGTCAATATTAATAATGAATACTATCTGTAATACTATAAGAACAATTAATGCATTCTCATACAGAAAATTTTTATTATTTTGGTTAAACATATAATATTTAAAATAATATAAGATCACTTGGATGAATATTGTCCATCGTAAAATTTACAAATACAAATATCATATAATTTTGTATCTATTTTTATTTTAAATTTTATAGTCCTACTTGATTGATAAATAAATATTTGTAAAATAACTATATACATTGTTCTAACCAATACGTAACACAAATTTTCAAATACCGGATGTATCCTTTCGAGATATCGATATCTGATATTAGTGAACAATAAAAATCATATGATTGTTGAGGGTGTAGTAAATTACGAGTAGTAAGTAAATTTCTTTTTAGATTACTTCGTACAAAAAGAAAATAACTTTGGCAAAAAAATGAAGATATGTGGACCTAAATATGCCCTATGTGGCTTAATATTATCTGTTTGGGGTATATTTCAATTAGTAAGTTATTTTTTAACCTAAAATCAATATATTTGAAATATATTGAGAAATTTTAAAATTAACAATTACATATTTTACATTGACAAATTGTAATAGAATTCATTCTATATATTTAAATTTAGTTTCATTGTTTTGATATTTATTTAGGAAAAACAAATTGATTAACTTTTGTCTGTAATCAATTTTTTAATAATTACAGAATTTATTGATTAAACTGATATTTGTCATTTACAATTAATATGAAGTGTAATATAAGCAAGTATAATTTTCATACATTTTTTAAAAATTGTAATCTGTAGAATCTGTTTATTTTTTTCAGCTCCTGATGGGAATATTCTTTTATACCAAAAGTGTAGCTTTAGTAGAAGATCTTCCGATGGAAGAATCTATAGATTTCAAAAAAGCTACAGAGTTCTATGCTGCAGCGGATAGGGGTTATAAACAAAATGCATATAATTGTTGGATTGCAGCTTGTATTTATGTTCTTACATTCTTATTTTCTGGACATCAATTTTATATAAATTCAAGATCATCTTTAAGTGTTTGAAAGATCATATAATTAAATACAAAAGTATAAATATATAGTATAATAATATATTATAAATAAAAATACTAAAAATTTAGGAACATACTGAATATAAATTTCAACAACAGATCTTTTCAATTGCATTTTAATATTAAGAATGAGTTGCTATTCAAAGTATATTGTACTATGATATAAATGTGTAAAATAAATGAATGTAGATTACTTCATATTGTATATATAATATGTGAAAATATACGATAAAATTATTGTTGAATTTATTTTTATTATAATGTAAATATTTTTTTTCTCTTTTTCATCGGTAGTATTTGAAATTCTAAATTACTTAAATTGGTAAAAATAACCAATTGACAACATTTTAAAACTAATATATAATAAAATTCCATGTTCATGCAATATATATAATGTTATTTAAGTATTAATTATTAAATACTTAACTTTTGTAAATGCGTGATATTTGTGCATAATATTCATGTAAGTAATTAATATATTGTCATTATCGGCAATCTGTCATTTTCGTTATTGCGTGCAAATTCAATATACGTTGTGTTGAGATAAAAAAAAGATTTCAAATTTTTAATCGTTATAACATTTAAAATCTTGAGATAAATTATATAATATTTATGTATATAAAATTATATACCCTATACATGTGAAATTGTAAATAACATTATTAGTTTATAATTGATAGGTTAAGTATAATATGGTTCAAATCCACTATATAAATTAATTATTTTAATTAACTAATTATAGTGTTATATATTGCAAATAAAATGCGTTATAATGAATAAAAATATATATACATATAGATAATTATAACATATAGATAATTTTTATTGCATAATTAAATATATAACATATAGATAATTTTTATTGAATATGGAGAGAACAAATTCATGTTTTAATAAATTTTAAATTTATCTATATTCATAATAATTTATGGTATTATTATACATATGTATATCTGTATATAACATTAATTTTTTGTATCACTATTATTATATTATTATTATATTATATTATTACATTATTATGTTATTGATTATATTATTACATTAATGTTATTGATTATGTTAACATTACTATGCATTCAATTTCAGAGTATTACACTGCATTAATTACAATGGAAAATGAACAGATTGTAACTGTAACTGATGACTACAATGAAATAATACGTCTTCCTTTTTCTCGAAAGCTTTTATATGGAATAGGACATGTTTTAAATGACATTTGTGCTTCAATGTGGTTTACATATTTGTTAGTTTTTTTTCATTTGGTACTTGGATTTAATTCAACTATGGCTGGAATAATTTTACTTATTGGTCAAATAGCAGATGCTTTAGCTACTCCTTTTATTGGTTTTCATTCTGATAAGAACGATAATTTTTGGTTATGTAAATATGGGAGAAGGAAAACATGGCATTTAATAGGTATATCATAATAATAATTATAATTATTATCATTTGTTTATGTATTATTGATTATATATATTGATTATAGGTACCCTATGCATACTATTTGCATTTCCTTTTATTTTTTCACATTGTATCGGATGTGAAACTTCTCACGAATGGGCTCAATTAGTTTATTATGCAGCATTTGTCATAATCTTTCAATTTGGTTGGGCCGCAGTACAAATATCTCATTTATCTCTAGTTCCAGAACTTACACCTTTTCAGTATGAAAGAACAGAACTCATAGCGATAAGGTATCTTTTTAATTATTAAAGATTTTTAAAATACTTTGACTAAATTATAATTTTAATATATTATTTAGATACAGTTTTACTGTCCTTTCAAATGTTTTTGTTTACTGTATTACATGGGCAGTATTACATATAACAAATACTAAGGATTCAAATTCCCAAATTGGGCCTGATGATGCAAAGAAATTTCAAGAAGTTGTATTTATTGGAATTGGAGTCGGAACTATAACATCTATTTTATTTCATATCTTTGTTAAAGAAAACCTTGTTAATAATTCTAATAGTAATATTAATTCTTTATTTATTCAATGATAAAAATTTATATTTATTTTAATATCTCTTTTATTACATCTAGGTCCATTGCATAGAAACGCAAGAACAGTATTATTACTATTAAAAAATGTCCAATTATATCAAGTAGCTTGTATATATATGCCTACTCGCTTATTTATAAACTTATCACAGATTTATATTCCTTTGTATTTACATGAATCGTTAAATATGCCAGCTACATCTTTAGCTACTATTCCTTTAATAATGTACTTGAGTAGTTTTGTAATGTCTTTAATTATAGAAAGATTGAATACAAAACTAGGTAGAAAAATTTCATACTGTTTTGGTGTTATATTAGGTATATGTGCTTGTATTTGGATACAATTTGGTACTGATTTAACATATACAAAATATCAGATCTATCCGGTATCTTTGATATTAGGTAATATTACATAACTTAAAATTAAATATAAATAAAATATATTCAAATACTAACTTTTTTTTTTATTGCAGGATCTGCAGGTTCTATTATGTTGGTGACTAGTCTTGGTATTACTGCAGATTTCATAGGTCAAAATGTTGATAGTGGTGCATTTGTGTATGGTGTTATGAGTTTTGCAGATAAACTTTGTAATGGATTAGCAGTCATGCTTATTCAATATTTGTTAGTATATATTATTTTTAAAATATTAATAATTTAAATAATTAACAAAACTAAAATTAAGTTTTTAGAAACAAACAAAACTAAATAGTGCTGTCTTTTATTTTTCAGAAGCTGTTGGATTGATAATAAAAATTATTATAAAAATGTTTTAGTTTATGTTTGTGCTACTTCTGCAATATTTGGCTTATTAATGATGTTATGTACAAAATCGTTTCATCATAATGTAGGTATGTATTTATAACATATGACCATATATTTCCAAAAGACACCGGTAATCATTTGATTATTAGGTATCATGGAGAGATATTGTATTTCAAATGATTTAAATATCAAATTTTCATTTTTATAATTCATACGTTCTAAAGATAGAAATCTTTATATCGATGTTGTGTATGATAATTAGTATAACGATGTGAATAAATTATATGGTTAAAACATGTAAGTATGTATGATATTGATTTCAAAAACAGAAAACACTCAAGAAGTAAAAGAAATAATCAAATTTAAAAATCATTGGTTTATGCTAAAAATTAGTATCTTTTGAATGCATAGATTGCTAAAATTGAATTTTTATATTTTGAATCCATTATCTTTTTCCATTATACTCACTAAATTTCAACTGGTGTTATTTATAAAAATATTATTATATTAATTATAGTACCATCATAATGTGAATATAATTTATTTCAGCATATAACACATTACATTCTGAACGTAATATATTTATTACTACAGCAATAACAGAGAATGAACCTTCAATAAGACCAGAAAATGTTACATAATATTAAAAAAAATAGCATATAATAATAAATATTTAAAATAAAATAAAATACTTTTATTTTATTTTTAGTATTTTTTAATTATTAATAATAGTATGTAGTTTGACTATTATCATTATAAATTGCTAAAATGTTCGCATTATAAATTTAATAATATATTTAATAATATAATTTTTTGGTTTATAAAAACTTTATATATATATTTTAATAATATATTATAATGTAAGTATTTATTTAAATATTTTTATTTTTGTATTAAATTAACTATTAAAACGTAATTGGAATTATACAATAACCTCATTAGATAAATTCTTGACACCACGTGATATGAACCTGTACTACATTATATCTGTTTACTATTGCTTTACGTTTTAGTCTTTATACCTGTTTACTATTGTTTTACGTTTTAGTCGTGGTATATTAAAATGATTCATTATACACAAAAATATTGGAAAATGTGTTAAAAATTAAATATATTAATATAAAATAAATGTATTTAAAATGTCTTTATCAGTGGGTAAGTTAACATGCGAATAAAATTCTAACCTTTGAAAATTCAGTAATACATATTTAAATATATATATTTTTTTATTTAATAGAATTATTGAAACGCCTAAATACAGACGAAGAACCTTTATCCAAACGTTTAAAATTAGCAGAAAATGTATTCTCTGCTGTTGACGTACCAATAATACATAAAAATGAGTTTATTCTACAATGGCTTTCTAATATGTGTTCTATAGATCAAAAAGCTTGGAATTCGTTAAAAAATTGTTTAAGTATTAAATGTTTGAATATTAAAACTGATGCGATAAAAAGATTATTAAAAGTATTAATTGAAACATTTCAACAAAATATGAAATATACACATGAGGATATTTTTGAATGCTGTAGTTCATTAACTTCAAATGATAGGATTCAAGAATATTTTATTAATAATCCAGAAGATTTAGGACTTTTAACAAAGTCTTTATTAGAATATGTGAAAAACATTTTTAAATATGTTCTTAATATTAAAGAAAAATCAATAGAAGGAATAAAAATTTCATTAATTAACAGAAGCAGTGGATTAATTCTAACAGCATATAATACAATAATTAATGTCATAGAAAATATAATACAAATTTATAAATCTGCTTTTTTTACAAAAGATAGTTTAAGAATCACATTTATATGCGATATCTTAAATCCTTTATGTGTTTTAATTGACCACAATTGTACTGATAATACTAATAGACTAGGTGCAATAACACATAAATGTATTCAACAATTAATATTTGGAAGAAAACATAGTCAAAATGGAGAATTTCTAAAAGATGAAGATATAGCACAATATAAAAATTTATTATCTATTTTAACAGAAAATGCGAAAACAAAAGATTTTCAGAGTAATTTAATGACATTCACTTTTTTCTTCCGTGTGGCAATAACTACTTTCAAATCGGACACTGTTATATTAGATATAATATTAAGAGAATTAGTGGAGTGTTCTGGAACATGTAAAGTAGAAATTTTAAATGCTCTTTTGAAGTGTTTAAATGATGTGATATTTAATTTTGATAATAAAGTATATAATGTTACATTATTTGATTATTGTCAAAATATAATCGATGATATTTTAATAAGCAAAAGTATGAGTGATACAGATTATGATCTTTTAATACAATTTTGTTATTTTAATCCTCTTATAATTGAAAGAAGAGTTAAAGATATATTAAAAAAAATGTTTATAGAAAAATCAGCATTGGAATATAAACATTTAATGACATCTATTTTGGATGCTTTTATACACCTAAGAGAAGAAGAAAAATTAATTTCGGCAATATTAATAACTTTAAAAGATAGTTTGTCTTGTGTATCACCTACAGAAAATGATATGTGTTTTTCACATGAATTCAAAGAAAAATTAATGAAAACTGCAAATAATATAACAAATTCACAAAGTGTAATTATGTTAAGAACACTGACATACCATTTAAGGACTGATTGCTTGGAGATATTACAAACTAATAATATTAGTAAGAATAATCACAAATAATAATGGAATCATAATTGATTTTTATATATTTTAATACTTTCTTATCTATTATAGGCACAAATATTTTAATATTACAAGCAACAGTTGAATTACTTGTTACATTGTTAGATGGTATATGTATTTTTGAATGTAATGGAACATCTACTTCCTACAATAAATTTATCAGTGCTTTTAATGATGTAAGAAATGTTTTATCACTTTTATTGATTGAGACAGTACATTTAAATCATAATGAATCAGTTGTAGTATTATTAACTGCAATATTCTCTTGGAATGAAACACAAAGAACTCTGAAATATTATATATCAAGTACTGTTTTAGAAGATTTGGTATTATCAATATCAGAGAATCAATGGAAGCAACTGATTAAAAAAATTAAAAAATTTGGTAATGAAGATTGTAAAAACAGTATGGTATGTTATTAAAATTTTATCATTATTTCTTTGATTATTTTTGTCAAATTAATTTATGGAAATTTATTTTTCTTCGTATTAGAAATATATAAAAATTATATTTATATATATATATATATATATTATGATTACAGAATAAACTTATTTTACAACAAATAAAGATGGCTCGTACTACGTTAAATGAATCTTCTTTTATATTTGATAATTTGATAGGTGGTTTAGAAAATTGTTGGAGCTTAATATTAAAATTTGATACAGAAATAATACCGTCTTTGAGTAATGAACAAGTTTTGAAATTAACACATTTATTATTAATGGATATGACTTCTACTGCAGATAATTTTAACGAATGGGTGAAAATATTACAAAAAAATGATTTACAAGAAAATAAAAGATTCATTATATTCATATTAACTTCTATTTTTATACAAATTGGATATTTAACAACAGAAAGTGTAACAGAATCTATGAGTAAATATTTTAATGCAGTAAGTATACATATTTTCCTAATATTGGAATAAATTATGTAAAATTGATGAAACGAGTAACTAATAATATTTATCCTTCCAGGAATTGTTATTTGAAACTGAAATTGTTGAATGTGACAAAGTAAATGACATATTAATGTCTTTGAAAGAAGAATTATTAGTAAATAAATGGACACAAATACAGAACGTAGTTTTATGTAAAATTAAAGTATATTTAGAAGCATTAATCCATTTACCATTAATATTTTTGAATACTAATCTAAAAACAATAACACTTATGTACATATTTGCTATTAGAATGGAATGTAATCAGAGTAGTGAAATAGTTCTTTTATGCAATGTAATATTTTCAGGTACGCTTTATGTTCATTCAATTGATATTTAATCAAAGATTAATCAAAGATTATAAAAACTTTTTTCATTTTTAGATCTCTTGGAAAGATCTAATATTGATGTATTTCAATATATAGATCCTTTTTTATTATTACAATTATTACCACAAAACAAAACATTTAAAAAACTATTGGAATTATTTCTGAAGAATTGTTCATATAAAAGTTTAAAAAGATTAATAAAATCTTTTAGTACTTGTAATAAGAACATATATTTTTTATTAGAATCTATGGAACGTATTAAATCAAAATTAGATGTTGACCAAAAAATAATAATTAAAAAGGCTAAAAAAAGAGTAATCAAAATTGTTACAAAAACTCTATCTTTTAAAATAACGAATTTAGATGAGATAAAAATATTAAATTTACTATTAAGGATTAGCATTAAAAATGAAAACGTTGATGAAAGATTAAAGGCCATTACAGAATCAGCAATTCAAGATATATTTGTGGTAAATATGAACATGATCAAAATATATTTCTAATAAATTTAAATCATATAATAATAAAATGTTTGTTTAACAGAACAGTGAAAATAACAAAATTACAAATGAATTGTTGCAAGATGGTTTACAACTCATGGTTGTTATTTTACATAATAAAAAAGTATTTCACATTACAAATCAAACTACAAAAGCAATGTGGAATACTTTATTTAAATACCCATCTATAGATGTACTTTCACCTTTATTAGCATCAAGTGAACTAAAAGAATTTTCTGACTTTACTAAAGAATTACATAATCGATTGGTATGATATGTTTAATAATTATACATAAATATTTGTATAATTGTAATACATATTTTATCAATATAATTTCCTAATTAATTTAGTTCATTACAGGTTGAAGCACTTTTAAATGCTGAAGAAAGTGATGTAGAAAATATTTGTTTTATCTGGAATGCTATATTAAAAACAGATATGTCCAATGATCGGAATAAATTACGTTTAACAGCTATCAATAATTTAATTCAAACGATACAAACTGTAAACGTATTAGAAAAATTTTGGCCAAATTTATTGAAATTAATTTATAATATTCTTGCTACTAAACATTTGTATCTTCCTGGATACATTATTGATATGAGTATAATGCTTAGTTTAAAATCGTTGCAAGAAAATACAATAGTAATATGTAGTGATACATTAGCACTATGTAATGTATTGCTAAAAATGAGAACAAATCTAATTAATGACAGAATATCTTTATTATTGACATTATACAGACAAGTATCAAATATTTTTGTACATAAATCCAAATTTATTATTAATAAGTCTGAAGAACGCACATTTAAGTGTGTTGCATTAGATATTGAAAAGTAAGTAAAATATTTTTTATATAATGTAGAACAAATATATGTATTTCAAATTGCTCTATTCTGTGCATAGGTTTACAAGTTCCTTAATAAAATTAAAGAAAGATATGATTCGACTAAGTCCTTATCTAATAGCAGATTTGTTGAAATTATTTTCACAAAGTTCAATACCAAATTTTGTTAAGGTAAGTTTCTTTGATACATTTAATAGAATACATTGTATACAATATTGCCTCTTAAACCATCTATAATTGAAACATTTAATTGTCATTGCTATTTAGTTATTATTGATGATCTAATACTATTGTCTTATTACTTTATCTTCAATTCTTAAAATTCTATTTGTTCAGATAAATATTTAAATATTGTAAAAATCTGCAGGTAGCAGATTTTTAAGTGATCAATATTCTATTTCCTTTTAATTTTTTTTTAAATAAACATCAATTAATATAATATACATTATTTTTGTTTTAGGTTTCTATGCAACATTGTATAAATCAATTAATCAGTGTATGTGACCAACATGGAATTGCTTTATTATCGCGAATACTACCTGTTTCGATGCAAGAAATTTTCAAAATTCAATTAGATACATGTAATAAATTTTATAAATTTATTGGAAAAATTTGAATAATCATTGTAAAACAATATTCACAAATTTATATATATATATATATATATATATATATATATGTATATATAAAATACATAAGTATATAATATAAAAGTATATTTTAATATCGATCAAGAATATATTTGTATTAAAGTTATTAAATAATTTTTTTATTAAAGTTTTTTCAATATTATTGAATTAAATTACTAATGATAGTATTATTTACTATAAAATTATGTTTCTTTCTATTTAATATCCTTATATTCTATTATATTCTAATGTCCTTATATTTGTATAAAAATAAAATTTTGAATAAAATGCAAAATAAAATTTTGAATAAAATGCAAAAATGTAGGAAATAGAAATTATGTAACATTGTACGGTAATTGATACTGCAAGTCCAACAGTTCAGTTCATCTCTATCGTTCTATCAAGTATCTACTTAAGAAAAAATATTTTTTCCAAACTCTCGCTAAAAGTACGACACAAATTTGGATTTTGTATTTATATTTAAGATTATAACAATTATTGAATTTTTATAAAAATAATTATTCATGGGATCTTTTCGTATACGTATTCATCAAGGTTATGTAGCCGCTATATTAGGTGCTCTTAGTGGTTATTATATTTGGAATGAACCATTAAAACAATACGCTGAAAAGAATTTTCCTAACAAAAATTTAAATAAAGTAAGTCAGGATAAACAATCTAAGCATCTTTATTTTCTATATAAAATAAAAAATTTAGTTTATGCTTTTAATTATATTACTATAATTTAAGTCCAATTCATTAATATTTCATTAATATTAATATAATACTTGAAAGTATTTTCTTTTTCTTATAGGAAACACCTCATGGCTAAATACAAATTTCGTTTACATCCTGGAAGTAAGTTACTTTTTGGTGTGGGTGTTTCTGTAGGATGCTTTTTAATTTATAAGTAAATATAATTATGTTGTTTGTATTATCAAGTAATAAAAAGAAGATAGTTTACATAACTTTATTATACCATAATATTAATTTTATATACAGAATTTCTTTCGAACATGCTGTTCAATTACGCAAAAGGGAGAAAAATGAAAGCGAAGCAAATATGTTATATGAAAAATATAAAGAAAGAGAAACAAACCTATCAAAAATAGAAATCATCTGAAAAGTTTGTGTATTGTCGTTGGAATGTAACGTGTTTAATAAATAACACATTTAAAACTATATAATACTATAGTTTATTAAATAACACATTGATAAATAAATATAATATTTCTAAAATTAATTTTTGAATTTGTCTCCATAAAAAGGTATATATATGGCTACTGCTTTCCAATCAGTAAAATAGATCAATGCCAATCCAGCATTTGCTCCGTATATCGCTGCTGATGGAATCCTATTTATAAAAGACTTTTATTATATATTATGGTACAAAATAAAAATATTAGTTTAATGTTACGTTATGTGATTGATATTTTGCAAAAAATGTTATATAATTTTAACATTAACTATTAAATTTAGCTTAATGAATTAGTTAAATAATTAATAATGAATTGGTTGATATATTATTTGAAGAACATTTACCATCTTGTAGCAATTTCAAAATGTCTTTTTCCTAAACGCATTTTTTGATATCTTTGTAACAAACACTTGGACTCGAAACTTCAAGGCGATTTATAAATGTTACTATATTGAAGTATGATTATACGATATAATAGTTTAAGAAAGGATTTTCTCAGCTTTTTCTCTATTGCCACCTATGATGAAAATGTCTAAATTGTTACTACTTTTGATATTAGCCATACCAACCTCAAATAATAGAATGTTAGTTGCAATTCATTATTTGTAAAAATCTAGAAGAAAAATTTCAGATGTATATTACTAGAATAAAATTACAAGAATAAACTTCAACGTGTTAAGTAATGTTATTAAATTTTTAAAACATGTATCAATTTAGTTCTGTAAATTATAAATTTAACGTTCTTTTGTTTCATTAAAATATAAAAATGTTATTTAAATACTAATTTAACTTAAAATTTAATTTCTAAATTTAACGTATTGTACAAAATTTGTTATTTGTAACTAAAATTAACAATTACTACCATATTTAAAAAATTCTTATGAAACAAAAGTATTTATTATTTTTATTTATAATTAATCTGTTAATAATTAAAATTATAAGGTATAAGAATATTACTATAATTAATAAAATAGATATCAACAATATATTACTATAAATAATAAAATAAATTTATTCCTAGAATATTTGATACAGTTTGCAATTAGTAATATTTAGTATTAAGGTTGGTTTGTATGACGTTTAAACAGAATGGTAATAGACAATTTGCTAACATTATCAGGGAGTTCCCTTAATTTTTACGTGATGAAGTTAAGCCGTGAATTTTCACAAATTAAAAGTCGCTAAAAAGTGTGAAAAATAAAACATTGCTAATTTTATTCAAAATTTTTACTATCTTTGGTGAGATAGTGAGATTATTAATTGTAATTTTTAAAGTATTTTTTTTTTTTTTTTTTTGTATAAATATATTATTTTTTCAGATCTTTTTATTATTAAGAATTATGGAGACTCGTATGGAGACTCATATGGAGACTCATATGGTGGACTTTATACCAAGAATTTATCAAGTTGAACTATTTGAAATTGCATGTAAAGAAAATATTATAGTTTATCTACCAACAGGAGCTGGAAAAACATTTATTGCTGTTATGCTTATAAAAGAATTAAGTGCAGATATACGAAAGTATGAATCGTTAATATCTTTTTTCAATTATTCATCAATTATCATAAAGTAGTAATATTATTAATGTTGAAACTCTGTATTTTATATCTAGGTCTTATGATGAAGGTGGTAAACATACTGTATTTATAGTGAATACATTACCTTTAGTTATACAACAAAGAGATTATATTAGAAGGTTAACTGGTTTGTCCTGTGGAGCATTTAGTAGTGAAGAAGGAGTTGATTTTTGGCATACTAAAGATTGGAATGCACAATTAAAACAGCATAATGTAAGAGAAGATAATTATAATTATGATTTATCTTATTGTTACAAATATTGCTTTTATAATATATAAATTGCATTTAATAAAATCTTTCAAAAAACTAGATGCAAGAATGAAAGAATAAAATTCAAAGAATGTTATAGGTTTTGGTAATGACATCGCAAATCTTGGTCAATGCACTTTGTCATGGATATATGAGTTTAAATAAAATAAATTTGATTATTTTTGATGAATGTCATAGAGCGGTAAATGATCATCCTATGCGACAGATTATGCAATTTTTTCAAAATTATCCCAAGAGAGAACAACCAAAAGTATTAGGACTTTCAGCAACATTGTTAAATGCTAATGTAAAGCTGGAAAAAATAAAATCAGTTATTCAGGTAAATTTCATTTATAATCACAAGATAAAAAGATTTTTGTAATTAATATTTGAATTTTATTATAGTCTTTAGAAGTAACGTTTAATGCAAAAATAACTACTGCAAATATAACGCATAAAGAGTATTATACATCGCCAAATGAAGAAATGGTTATATTTAACAAATATATTGTGGGTAATGTTGGAGAGTGTATGAATAATATCATTCAGGAAGTAAAAAATATTCTAAATTGTATAATTTTAAAAGATGTTTTGAAATACTATGAATCAAGCAAAGAATTTAGACCAAAAACTACCAGTCAAAAGTTGCAGAATATGTTAATGGACATACAATATCAACTTTCAAGTACAGGTATATATAATGCCAGAATAGCAGAATATCAAGGAGATAACAAAAGAATAGTATTATTCTACAAGATGGGACAATAACTTTGGTCACTTTGAATATGTTTGTTGTTTTTGAGGTATGGATAAGCTTTGTCAACAAAAGTTGTTGAGACTAGAGGTCATATTATGACAATGACAATTTTTTTGCAGGTAGGAGTGTTTTGTGAAGATTTCAAGATCAACTTTTTTAAATGGAATTATATTTTTTTATATATTAATCGATACAGGTTGATGTTCTCTATAAAAAAGTATTAATTAATCTATGTATGTCGGAAAATTATTAGTTTAATAGATATTTTGATTTTAATTTTATAAAATTAAAATGAAAAACGAGGAAAAATAGGAGTGTATTTTTGTTCTCATATTGTCCTTGTCTTTCATGCAATGGGTTTTATAAAATTATAAAAACTTTTGTTGACAAAATTTATCCATATCTTTAAAAATTAACGGACATGTTTAACATGATCGGAGTTATTGTCCTATTTTAGATATCTAAAAATAAATAAAGATAAATGATAATTTTTTTGAGATCTTGTTTGCGGGAAAATTAAATTTGTATATTATGTTGAGAAAATTGAATTTTCATATTTATTCACATTTATTGTTAAGTACATTTATATTTAATTGATATAGAATTTTGAAACTTATTTTTTTTCAAAAACGAAGTTTTTTTCGTCTTTGCATTGGAATAATCGCTTGTCCTTGAAAATATATGGAAATATTTTGGATTAAAATAATTGCTTCTAATTTACTTTTCTTTTTATAGATAATTTAATAAATTTCATTTTTATAGGAATTTACGGTGCAAGTAAATGTATTTTACTTTATTTGATTCAATTGGAATGTTTAAAAAAAACTACAGATGATGCGGTATGTAAATATTGGATACAAAAAATATTTCAAGTTTTATTTGTAATATGTTATTTGTAATATAATATGCTATATTTGTAGGAAACTATATATATTTTAGAATATATTATATCAAAAATATCTACTTGTAGAAAATTATTAGAAGATGAAATAGAAGAAAAAGAAGAGAAGGAAAGGATTTACAAGTAAGTTAATTCCATCCATACTTTTTGCACAATTCGTAAATAGTATTTTGCAATTTTAGATATTCATCTGACCAAGTTCGACAACTTTTTGAAATATTAAAAAACTTTTATAAAAACAGAACTAACGATCAAGTATTTTTCTGTATTATTTTTGTAAAACGCCGATTCACCGCAAAAATATTGTATCAAATATTAAAGGTAAAAAAGTAATTCTTATGTTAATAATTTATGTAAATTTATTATTATTCATTATTTTGCAATTTGTATTATTTTAGAATATATCTGTGCATGATGAAGAATATAAATTCTTACATCCAGATTTTCTGATGGGTATTTCAGTTAATCCTTATAAAAATTCTAAAGAACTGTTATGTATATCAAAACGAAATAAGGAAGTTTTGCTTAGGTATAATATTTTGTATGAATACATTAAATAATAAGATATATTATTATATGCTATAAATTTATTTATTTAATCTTAATATAATCAACTATGGATATATTAATGCATTATTAATAAAAAAATATACAATTTCTTGTAATTTTGTCTTTTTTAGATTTAGAAATGGCTTGTTAAACTGTCTTATTGCAACAGATATTATAGATGAAGGTATAGATGTACCAAAATGTTCTTTAGTTGTAAGATATGATTTTCCACTTGATGTGAGAACATATATTCAAAGTAAAGGAAGAGCACGACATGCATATAGTCATTATAAAATCTTGATACAAAAGGATGAATTACAGTATTTACAACGATATAATGAATTTCAAGTGATAGAAAAATATTTAAAAAAGGTATTACTTTTCTGTTTATTTATTAATTTCGTATAATTATATATGTTTATATTACTTTCTTATAATTATTTATATCTGTTCATATTAATTTCTTATAATTATTTATATTATTATTATGTAACATTAAGAACCTAAAATATTGTACCACATTATAAATATTGTTCCTGTATTGAGAGAATATTTTGTTATATTATTATATTAATATTATAAAGAATATTTTGTTATATTATTATATTAATATTATAAAGATTATAAGTTTGCATATTTTTTTTATTTTTTAACTAGTATTTGAAGGAGAAAAGTTATGAACGTCGTAATGTACCAACTGAAGATGAAATAAAAAATGAATTATATCAATGCACCATAAAGCCATATATAATAACTAGTGATAATGGACAAATGTGTTGTATAACAGAACAGATGGCAATTACTGTAATAAATGAATATTGTACATCCTTATTGAAATCAAAATTTACCTGTTTATCACCTATTTGGATTTTACATAAAGTTTCAGAAAATTCAAATAATACTAAAGTTAATAAATATCAGGTACTAAAAATCAAAACAATTTTTTTTTCATTTGGTTCTTTTTTCTTATATAAAACTATAACTTTAATATGTTTTAGGTTTCTCTTAAATTACCATTACCATCTCCGTTAAGAACTGTTATTTTTAGTGATTCTATGCCTTCTGTCTGTAGTGCAAAGAGATCTGCTGCTATGAAAATGTGTATAGAATTACATAAAATAGGAGAATTAACTGATAAGTTACAGCCAGTTACAGCAGAATCACTTCAAAAAGATCTAAGTTATTTATTTCCAAATTGGAGTGATGAAAATGAATCGGACAAAGATTTAGGAACATACAAGAAAAAACGGCATCATCAGTTACAAGTAAAAACTTTTTATTTCATTGATCAAGATGTAATAAATTATCATTTATATGGTCGTTACATTAATAAATTATCATTTACATGGTCATTAAATTATATTATCATTTATATAGTCATTATTTATGGTCTAGTTTCCATCAGCTCTATATGATGCATTTCCTGGGCCACAAAAACAAATATATCTACATATTCTTCATGCTACACCTAAATATCCTGCGCCACATCATGATAATCGACATTTGGTATTTTATAATTTATTACATAATAATGCAGGTTTTGGTGTACTTTCTACAAAACAAATACCAGAGGTATAAATTTAAATTTGTTTTAAATTAAAAATTAAAATTTGTGCTAATTTTTGTAATAAACATTATATACAGCATATTCTTATTATAGATACCATCTTTTCCAATTTTTATGAATCTTGGTGAATTAAATATTGATGTTAAAGTAAATCATACAACGATGTTTTTATCTGAAAATGAAATTAGTTTATTAAAAATTTTTCATACTTTAATATTTGATGAAATCGTACCAGTTATAAAATCGTTTATGATATTTGATAATTACAATCTTGATAATTGTTTTTTAATTGTACCAGGTAAGTAAAATTCGTGATTAAATATAAAATAATTAAATACAAAAAAATAAAAATATATTTATTTTTTCTCTTATTACGTGAAATATCACTGATATTACTAATTTTTAAATTTCTCCTATTCTAAGATTTAAAACTAAAGAGATAGAACAAATGCTATTTTAAAATATAATTTTTTAGTCGATGAAAACTGGGACATAAATTGGAACGTTATAAAACGGCATAGATCTATTGAACATATATCGCCACCAGTTCCATTTCATTTCAAAACCACTGATTATGAATTAGCATTGATTAAACCGAATTATAGAGCTGCAGAAACATATATTGTTACTCAAGTATGTCATGATATTACACCAAATTCATATTTTCCAACTGATAATTTTTTGTCATATGCTCATTATTATAAAGAAAAACATGGTTTAGTAATAAGTGATTTAAAACAACCAATGTTAGAAGTAAAATCAATATCAAGGACAATAGATTATATAATACCTAGGTAATATACAAATTTTATATATAATTTTATATATAATTCTAAATGAAAATAAATTCATAATTAAATTGTATTTTTATATACAGACATATGCATAGTGAATCAAAAAATCGCAGATATGTGGACTCAGCAAAAAATTTGAAAGAGCATTTAGTTCCAGAATTATGTACTAAAATTAACTTTCCAGCTTTATATTGGCTCAAAGCAACAACTTTACCATCTATTTTACATAGAATTTCACAGCTTTTAATTGCAGAAGATTTGAGATGTCTTATTGCTAAAGAAATTAACTTGGAATTATTATCAAATAATAAATGGCCTCCATTAGTGATAACTGAGGAAGAAAGAGAAGATTCATTTGAACCTTTATTAGAAACTTCTACTATGGAAAATGATAATTTACAACCAGAACCAGTTTTAAATGAACCAGAAATAGATGGTATTCTTACTGTATTTTATTTTGACAATAGTATCTATATGTAAACTAAATATTTTTTTACAAATTATTATTATAGTTATAACAAAACTGTATTTATTTATTTTCACACAGTATTAAATACAGAATCATATCATTACCCATGGTCAAGATATCAAGAACCACCAGATTTGAACAGGAATATTGAAGAAATTCAACTAATTCAAATCGAACATTATTGTCAACTTATGAATGAAAAACAGGATACAAATAATATAATGATAGTAATATCTTGTATTTTTCACACACACACACACACACATACACACAATTTCGTTATATGATTCTAAAAATTTATATACATATATTTATATACATATATATATATATATACATATATATATATATATATAATATTTATATTTAACATTTATTTACAATAATCATAAAATTTATCTTACAGACCAATGAAAAAGTTAATTATTTAATTAAACCATCAGTATCAGTACCGCCTTTGCAAATCTTGTTATTAAAAAATTCGCATGGTCCGGATCCTGTTCAAATTATGTATGTAAGTAGATTTTTAATTATTTTTTTTTTATTGTAATTAGTTAATCTAGCCAGTTTATGAAAACATTAATTTTTATAGGCACTAACTACCAAATTAGGACACGATGCATTTAATTTAGAACGTTTAGAAACTTTGGGAGATTCGTATTTGAAATTTATTACATCATTATTTTTATATAATAATTTTCCAAAATATACTGAAGGTTATTTAACCACGTTAAAAGGAAAAATTATTGGCAATCGTAATCTTTATTATTGTGGAATTAAGAAACATATTCCGGGACGTATGAAAGTTGATGGTTTCATAGCCATAAGCAATTTCATTGCTCCAGCCTATACGGTACATAGGCAAATTCAAAATGTATTGGTAGATGCCGAGGTTTGTATTATTTAAAATCAATATTTAAAATCAAATCATATACAAAGCAAATTAATTAATATTAAAATCATTTTAATACGAATTAAAATGATTTTTTAAAATTCAACAAAATAATTACAGTAAAGTAAGTACATTTACTATAATAAATAAAATTCTGTGTAAGGTATCACCAAACGTTTTATATGAAATTCAAATTCCTAAAGATGAACAGTTTAGTGGACAGATCGGTGAAACTACAATGAATGTAATGCAAACAAAGATATTAAATTGGGAAACAGCAGAATCACAAACTGGTATGGAACATTATCTTGGACTACAAACTGTTTCTGATAAAGCAATAGCTGATTGTGTAGAAGCATTGATTGGTGTATATCTTAGAGTAAGTAAAAACAAATCTTGCAATATATAATGCAATAACTTTTCTATTATTAATATTTTTATTTTTATAGAGTATGGGTATTAAAGATACTTTAAGATTATTACAATGGTTTCAAATTTTACCAAATGAAATTGATGTTGATGCATTGTTATTTGGTACTCCTCAGAATCCAATAATTTGTGAAGGAAATGACATGAACTATTTCATGCCTTGGGCTTCCCAGATAGAATCTCAGCTTGGGTACAAATTTAATAATAAAGGATATTTATTGCAGGTAATTTTAACATTTTACTCGTAATAGTAAAGAAAAGACAATTGAATGTTTTACTTATTGTAACTCTTTAATATTATAAGGTGTAGTTTGATAAATTAATTTAATTAAAAAATATAACTGTTAAGTAAAAGAATTAAATATTTCAGGCTTTTACACATCCTTCGTATACACCAAATAATATGACTGAATGTTATCAAAGATTAGAATTTCTTGGTGATGCAATACTTGGTAAAATAAAGTGTTTATTGATTAATGGAATATTAAATGAATTATACTTAATTTACTATATTATTTCCTATTATAGATTTCCTAATTACAAGTTATATTTATGAAAATTGTGGAAATTTAAATCCTGGTGCATTAACAGATCTGAGATCTGCCCTTGTTAATAATATTATTTTTGCATGCCTAACTGTACGACATGGTTTACATATTGCTTTACTATCGTATACTCCAGAATTAAACAATACTATAGAACGATTTGTAAAATTTCAAGAAGACAGAAATTTCGCTGTGAACGATGAGGTATTTCATATTACTAAAAGAAATACATTAAATATATTTTGAATTATTTTAAAATATGTATTGTATTTCTATATGTACATAATATGTTTTTTGTATTTACAGCTTCTATGGATTTTATTAGAAGAAGACGAATGTAATATGGCTGAACATGTAGAAGTTCCTAAAGTTTTAGGAGATATATTTGAGTCAACGATAGGTGCAATATATTTAGATAGTAACAAAAATCTTACAACAGTATGGAATATAATATATTCCATTATGCATAAAGAAATCGGTATGTGTATTTATAAAAATAATTTGATGACTTTAAAATATTTTACTATAAATAAATATCATTAACTTGAAATTTTTATCTAGCTGAATTCAGTAAAAATATTCCAAAACAACCGATTCGTGTATTATATGAAACTCAAGGTGCAAATCCACAATTCCTGTAAGTATTGATAGTAGTAATTAATATTTCATGTTTCTTAAAATTAATAATTACATATTTTCCAGAAAACCAAGTATTGTTAATAATATGAATGTTATCATGGTACCTTTAAAAGTAATTATTGCTGGGAAAGTAAAATATTTTCATGGATTTGGTGCAAATAAAAAACAAGCAAAGTGTGCTGCTGCAAAGCAAGCTTTAAAAAGTTTATTATGTAAAAAATAGATCATTATTATATGTACTGAAAATTATATTTACAAATTATTATATATTTAAAATATTCAAAATCTATAATTAATAAGAAATTTACATCATAATTAATATATTGTATTATTGTTTTATATCATGCTATATCATTCAATAACATTGTAAATACAGATTTATTCAAATTAAAGTTTTTACATTAATTTTCATTTTTACGTTTTTTCAATGATGGTCGTTCAAATACTTGCTTCATTCCCGCAGCTTGATTGTTATGGAATTTTAAATTTTGTGCCGTTTCTGAAATCCATGGTGAATCAAATTGAGTAGTATCTTGATCAACTAAATGCGTATATTTAGTTCTACCACTACGTCCAAAGTTCTTCACTTGCATAACTTTTGGTAAAATCGTTTTATCAAAATGATCCTCCAAAGTTGCACCAGAGAAATCTCGTTTAAATATATTATCCTCTTTATCCAAGTAGAAAGCTCCACGATGGTAATATTTTTGTAGAAATTTGTATTTTCCTTTGGCAGCTTTATTTGTAATGACTTTTGGATTTAATCGCGCTTCTTGTCTCCGTTCTTCTTCTGTCATGTTACGTATTCGTTCAATTTCAAGCCGTTCTTTTTCAAGTCTAAAAAAGATATTTATGAGAATATATATTGAACATAAACATTATTATTATTATTATTATTGATACATACTGTTCTCTTTCTTCACGATCACGTTTAATTCTTTTTAATTCTCGTAATTTCCAAGCTTCATACTCAACCTCATCATTTTCATCGTCTGTACAAACATCTTCAAGTTTTCCTTCGTGTTCGCTAATATTTTTATTTACTTGTGCTTCTTTTCTTATTGCTTCTTCTACCATCTATGAAATAAATAATGTTAGAAGAAAATAATCAATATTATTTATGTACTAACTATATAATTTGATTTACACGTAATGTTTGTCGTTTTCGTTCTTCTACCAACTTTTTGGCTTCAATTTCTGCTTGCTTTTGTTTCATTGCTTCCTTTTCTTTCTCCATCACAGTGATTCTATCTTTTTTACGTACAAAAACTGGCTTCAACCTTGGCCCGGTTTCTTCCTCTGAATCTGTATATTCTTCATATTCTGAGCTTTCCTCAGAAGTATCAGCCGATCTTTCATCTTCTTCTCCATGAATTAATTCTTCTTCATTTTCTTTTTTTGATAAAACTCGTTGTTTTAATGCTTCTCGTCTTCTTTCAATTTCGGAATCTGACAATTCTTCATCTTCTGAAGAATCTGAACTTTCTAATTTAATTCTTTCTCGAGTTCTTTCAGGTTCAATATCAATTAATTCTGGTTCATGTATATGTCTATGTCTTTCTGCACAAATTTCTGTATTAGATTCCTTTTGCTTTTCTAAACGTATTAATCTTCTTATACGTGGATCATCTTCATCGCTTATTTTAACCTGTGAATGTGTGGTTGTCTCTGTAGAAATTTCATTTTCTTCGTAATTTTTATGTACACGTTTTTCTAAAAAATCTTCTTCTTCAGACTCTTCTTCTGAGCTAGCAGTTGGTGCATAATCAGGTCGTTTGCCAGAAACATAACGATGTACTTTTACTTTTTTCATAGAAAGTTCACCTAAATTTAAATGGAGATTTAAGATATAATATAATTATATCTTAAAATATAATTCATAAAGATAACTTCTAACCGCTTTGTTTTTATAATAATAATTATAATTTTATAACAGGAAAATAAGTAATATAATTAATTAAGTATTAATTATAATTATAATATTTAATAACCTTTATCATTTTTTACAGGTACGGCACCAGCAGTACTTTGAATTCCCATAGGTGCAGGTGCCAAAGAATTATTTGTAACAAAATAATCCATCATCATTTTGCTAACTCACAACATAAATTTTCAAAACTAAAATATTTTATAAATTATACTCTATAATAACAGCAGTACCCGGGTATCTTATATTAAAGAATATACATGATAGAGAGATGCTATCTACAAATTTTTTCCAGAAATCCAAACGATCGCAACGAAATTATGAAATACTATTTTATATATAAAAATAAAGTAAAAATATGTTGAAACATATATTTAATGATTAAAGTTGAAATATATTATATATAATACATATATTTAAATGTATTTTATTCTAGTTTCTAGGAAATTATATCATTCTAGTTAAAAGTATCATTTTAAGATAGCCATAAATTTTAATTAAAATTTTCATTATTTAAATTTAGAAAGATTATTATTTTAATAGTAAGAAGTGTTATTTATTAAGTTTCAAAGTCAAAAATATATTCTAAAATTCATCAATGCTATGATGTTGACTCTATGAAAAATTAGTTCATGACGGAAATTGACTTTTAGGTAATGGCGCTGTATGAAATTTCATAGTTTATAGGTGTTCATTTGCGAGTTGGCACGAGGGATATCTGATATATATATATAGTTGTAAAAAAATAAAGGTTTAATTGTTAATATTTCATTTTTTACTGGAACAAAAGTTATACAACTACACGGACAAAATGTTTTGGGGTAAATATAATTATCATGGTTAAAATATATCTAACGATCTTCTAAGATTTGCCGGTATAGTATAGTGTTTTAAAATGGTGTCGCCATGTGGTTTTGAAAAATGATTACACTTTTCGAAAATAGTATTTTACTAAAATGAAATTATATAAAATAATAATTGTATAATCTCTTTCAGGTTTAATACTGGAACCAAATAGACGATATACACAAACTGTTGAAAAATCATTCCATGTGTCAATGGCTAGTTTAAATCTTCAAAAAGCCGGTAAAATTAATAAGTTCGTTTTTCATTAGATTTAAGTTTTTAAATAATTTTTTTTAAACTTAAAAGATAAATTAGTTTATTATTTAAACCTTAAATATATGGTTAAAAAATTCAAACTTGTTATATTTTTAAATTATAGTAGTATATCATTTCAAACTTTGTTTATTATAGATGATAACGTGGTACAAGTAATGTTATACTACGAAGATAGTTGTTATTTGTTATGCAATTTAAAAAAAAGCACAACATGGCAGGTACCGCTTGATTTGAATTTTCATGAGGGGACCACAATAGCATTTATATGTCATGGTCATGGTCAAGTACATTTAACTGGTTATTTAATACCTGATGACGATTTAGATGAGTTAGAAGAAGAAGAAGATGATGAACAGGTACCACAATTAATTGAGAAACAATCAAAAAGAAAAGCTACAGATTCTTTAAAAAATGAAAAGAATATTAAACGCTCTAAACAAGAAATTGAAGCAGAATCTTCCGATGAAGATATAGACTTAGATGGTATGACTGAAGAGCATGATTCTGATGAATCTGAGGAAGGAGATGAGGAGTTACTACTTAATGAAGAAGGTATGGAAGAAGATGAAGAAGGTGAAGAAGAAGAGGAAGAAGATGAAGAAGATGAAGAAGAAGAAATAAAGTTTCAACAGAAAGATAAAAAAAATAAATTGCAAGAAAAAAAAAAGGTAGTTAATGGAAAAGAAGCCAAACAAAAAAAAGATAAAGGAAAACAGCAACAAAATGAAGTGAATATCCAAAGTGACCAAAAAACAAGACTAGTAGAAGGTGGGGTACAAATCAAAGAATTGAAAATAGGTAATGGCAGTGTTGCAAAAAATGGAAAACATGTCTCTGTATATTATGTGGGCCGTTTGAAAAATGGAAAGATATTTGATTCGACAACACAAGGAGATGGTTTTAAATTTAGACTCGGAAAAGGTGAAGTAGTTAAAGGTTGGGATGTTGGTATTGTAGGAATGAAAGTAGGAGGAAAACGACGTATAACAATACCTCCAGCTATGGCGTATGTATTATTCATTTGTGTATAAACTAAATTTAAATATATTATTCATTATTTTTTACATTCATTACAGATATGGAGCAAAAGGTTCGCCACCTATTATTCCTGGTAATAGCACACTGATGTTTGAAGTAGAACTTAGGAATGTACATTAAATCATTGTGTCAAGAATATTTAAATATTGTTAAGTGATGTATAATGTATTTTAAACTAATAAATGTAATATCCTTTTTAATTATTCTACAAACTACAATTTTCTTAAAAATAGTACATGAAAAAATATTGCTACTGCATTGGAATATAAATTGTATACATTTTTTGTAAAACGATGTATTATGTTACTGAAATATGAGATATTAAACTATTTATTTCTAACATTTTCCTCGTAAGTAATAATTGTGAAAAAAATAGGAAACAAATAAAATTTCATTATCTTTTAACAATAGTGAATGATTTTAAAATTTATATAATATATACACCTTGTAATAACAATAAATAATTTACTTGAGATATAATATAGATTTATAATTATTAAAAAAGTTATAAAGTATAAAGTTTATATTTTGCAATAAATTATATTTGGAATAATTATAATTCATATATCCATAATTAAGTTTCATTTTAATGTTTTCTAATCCAATTTTTTATTTTCTTGATTTTTTGCCCACGACAATGTGCAAATGCCATTTTTACATTCCTTTACCAATTGTGGAGGTTGTTCTTTGTTTGTTAATTCTTTCTGTTTGTTCCTGAACTGCCACCACTTTATAAATAATGGCTGTATCAAAAATCTCCATATAATGAGTAATATTGGTATAGCTACACATGGTACACATACCATTTTAGGTCAATTTAGAATCAAATCTGAAACAGTATAGGTTAATATATACCAAATTAATGATTAACTTAAAAAACCACTATTTCCACAAAAGATTAATGTAGAAATTGAACTCGTACCTAGAGTCAAATAAATTTATTTTTTCTTACTATTATCTAAAGTAACTAAGTAAATATTTAAATATTTAAGATGATCTGGAAATATGTAGAATGATATAACCTTTATAATAAAATTAAGTTTAAGTATTAAACATTTATACGTATAGCAATTTATTTTATAATTTCATATATAAAAGAATAATATTTTTATCAAAACTTAAATTTTGGATATATTTGTCTTTACTATATTTCAAATTATTGAATTCTATTTAACGTTACTTATGTGTCATATACTCACATTCGTAAAGCATGCGCAATGGTTTATACCAATAATTAAAATTAAAGTTTTATATTCACACAAATGTTTTCACTATAAAAATATTTAATATATTTTTAATTGTTAATTAAAATTAAAAATATAAATAATTATTAAATTGTTATAATTATTAAAGAATTAATTAAAGTTCGTAAATATAGTTTTTTTTAATTTATTTGCCTAAATTTTTAATCATTCTTTGAATCTTGAAGAATCTTCACGTTTTATTGTACATCTTAATTATTACTTAACATTATTTTATTTAGATAAACATTGCATATTAACATTAATATGATAAGAACATGGTCACAGCCATATATTACTAACAGGATTTGAATCCTATTAATTTAACTTATCGATATAAGGTACTAAAAGTACATAAAGCAAGTGTCAGTCAGTATTTTTACTAGAATTACAAAAATATTCTAATTAAATTTGTTTGATTTATAAATCAAATTACATACTTCCAAATACTTTACGTCCTTTTGTTACGGATAAAGAAACAATAACGACACTTAAAATAAAGAAGACTAGTCCGAAGAAGGCGGTTAGAGCTCTGCACCATTGTCGTTTTCGTTTTGCTTTTGCAATTACACGACCTAAACGTTCCGCTCGTGAAACGTCAAGTGTGAAATCTAAATCTTCGGCAAATCCTTGCATACGATAATCGCAATTATTTTTGTTGGACGAGAAGATTCTACCTTTGTTGAACGAATCACCATTACTGCACTCCAACTGCTGAAACATCAGTCTTGATACGTTGGTTACATTGATATTGTGACTACTATTATTTGCGCCTAACGTTATTATATGTGAAAAAAAAATATACATGTTTAATGAAGTATATGGAAATAAACGTATTACTAAAGAACCTTCTATTTGTAATTCAATCTATTTGTAAAAAAGACTTGTGCATTGAGTAAGAAATTGGTTGAAGAATTGAAAAAAAAAATCTAGGTTTGAATTATAGTTCAGAAGTATATAGACTTACCATAGAATATTCTGGTTTGTTAGAAATAACTTTATTCCGATCTTGTTTGATTTCTTCATTAATATTAATTGTTCCTTTCCTTTCACTTTTAATACCACGATTCACACATATATGTTTTATTTCTTTATTGCCAACGATTGAACGATTTAAGCATTTACAAACATGCGGTTCAAAAATATTTTTATTGTTCTGCAACATTAACTCTGAATTTGTTCTTTGACAGTGATTATCCATCAAAAGCATAATAGGATTTTCTTTTTTTTCTGATTCATCGCTCATCTTGGTTTGTTCATCATTTTTAAAAGACGATAGAAATCTATGAGTATGTTTACAACTGCATAAGCAAGCGTACCATGGATTGTGCAAATAAAATTGTCCTGTATTATTGTAAAGCTTTGAGTTTACTGGATTGATTTTCGGCGAAGAATTTTTATTACTTGATAGATACGAATTCTTATCATTTAAAATTGATCGTTTGCTTGGAGAAAAAGAGGAATTATGGTAAACATATTCGTAAAGTCCCCCTTTTAAACCAATTCCTTGGGCAACCTTATACGAGATATTGTGTAAAATCTCTTCTGGTGTCATAGCATTCTTCCCTTCTATCACAGAATTTAGTGTTTGAGATAATTCAAGGAGGACATCGTGTGCTGATGTACTTGCAGGCTTTTCATAATCCCAATCGCAATATGAATAGGTGTATGCACAACTGCATCCGCAACATGTATACAAAGCTATTATAAACCGCAATATATTTCATTGTTTTTATAAAACATCAACATGAAAGAAATATATCGATATATCGATACTTAGAAACATAGAGATATCAACACTTACTATCATATTCAGGATTTTCGTCGCTCTGATAAAATTCGCGTGGATTGGGGAACGTAGTCGGCCAAATAGGACGTGGAATTGACTCGCTCTCGTGAATTACAGCAAGACCTCCGTTGAATTGATCCTTCATTGTTAAAGGTACTCCTCGAAAAAAATTTTGACCTGAGACTGCTGTTGTATAACAAGAATATGAACCAGCTGATAGTGGCGGGGAATGACTGGAGTAACCGGAACTGGTCGAAGTTCGATAACATTTTCTCAGATTATTTCGCGTCGT